AAGTCCATAGTTCAAAACATCAACAGGTCATGTTTCCTCACTGGAACCAAGTTTCTCTGTCTTTTGTATTCATGCCCCATGAAATTGGGCAAAATCAACCAGGTGAAGGCAGTTGTCTTCCTAAGCAAAATTAACAAAAGTAATGGAAATGCATACTGAGAGTGAGGTTCAAAATGTAGTCGTCTAAGGATCCTATGATTACAACTTGAATGGGGTCAACTATGATGACTGCACAATAAAAGGAGAGACCAGGATGTTGCCGGGGTCTCCCTGTGGTATAAAAGGGAGATCTAAAGTCACATATTGTTCTCACTACCTGACACAGGTCACTGAATGTCACAATCTGAAATCATTCCTATTTTTCTATTAATTTTTAGCAATTCTCTGAGCATCATACTCTTTAGGAATACATGACCTAAGTAAACTTTCTGCTCTGAGGCTGGTAGATATTGAGATTTATAAATTTGGTGGGGCCGGGCGCGGTGGCTCAAGCCTGTAATCCCAGCACTTTGGGAGGCCGAGACGGGCGGATCACGAGGTCAGGAGATCGAGACCATCCTGGCTGACATGGTGAAACCCCGTCTCTACTTTAAAAATACAAAAAACTAGCCGGGCGAGGTGGCAGGCGCCTATAGTCCCAGCTACTCGGGAGGCTGAGGCAGGAGAATGGCGTGAACCCGCGAGGCGGAGCTTGCAGTGAGCTGAGATCCGGCCACTGCACTCCAGCCTGGGCGGCAGAGCGAGACTCTGTCTCAACAACAACAACAACAAAAATAAATAAATAAATAAATAAATTTGGTCGGGTGTTTGTCCTAGAATAGTACTGAATTTCTTGGAAGTCACTGCAGGCAATGTACCTTCTGCTGCTACCTTCTGCATTGTGCCATGTAGCCTTTCCTGGCCTCCCACTCCCCTCTTGCCTTCAGAGTCACAGGATAGAGAGGCTCTGAGCATGGCTGATATTAAAGGCAGCCCATGGGAGAGGAGATGAGGATCCTTGACACATCTTCAGCCCTAGGCCTGGAATGAATGAATAGGTGTGGGAGGAGGGGCAAAGTGTTGCATGTTAGTCACTCTGATGAGAGTCATCACTAGTAACGGGTCAGTCTTGTTGCAGTGAATCCAGTTTTCTTACAGTTGCTGTTAAGTTTTTTTAAAAAAAACTTACAAATTTTTCTCTGCTTTGCGGTGTGAGAAAAGCAGCAACAGGAAGGATAGGAGATGCTTTGAAGAAGCAGACAGGTGGGCCAAATCAGGGGGTGATAGAAAGGCAGTCAGGGAAGAGGCTCCAGGCAAGGTGCATGAATTATTCGTCCAGCAATTAATCAGAGAAGAAGAGTATCAAAGGTAAACATTGCATCTCAGTCATGCCAACTTATGATGACTAAAATGGATCTCAAGTATTAAGGCACACAAATTGTGTCCATATCAATATCTTCCACTCTAGTATGATGTGACATTAAAAAGTTATTTTTATTTCCCTGTCCAGTAGCCATCTAAAGCAACTTCTCAGTTGCAGTATTTGAGCAGGGATGTTGAATCCACTATTTTTGTCTAGTATATTAAATGTTCTGTATGTAACAGGAATACTGATCCACAAGGTTTTCCAAAACTTCTGGAATTTCTGGGGCATTCTTTTCTTGGAAGATTCTAGGGAAAAGAATGAGCTTAGCAGAATTGCTATAAAGGTGCTTACCATGCAAGTTCCATGAGGGCAGGGACTGTACTTACTCAAACCTTATCCTTAACAAGTGCCTGGTATAAAACAATCACTCAAATTAGTAACAGAAGCATTAATGAAGTTACTAACTGTGAGGTAGTGTAACTTAGAGTACCGGTTGAAGAGTGTCACCTCTTCCTAACTGTGTGACTTATGACAAGTTACTCAAACTCTTGGTAGCTCAGTTTCCTCATCTGTAAAATGGGAATGATAGCAGGGCCAACCTACAGCAAAAAGTTATTAGGAGACTACTGAGTTAATATTTGTAAAGCTCTTGAGATAATACCTGGCACAACATCATTTATAGCCAAGTGCTATATGAGCACTTGATACATAAAAAAAATCTACAGGAGTGCGGATTTGTAACTGGGATGGCATTTTCTTCCAGTTGAGGAATTAAGTGTATGGATGAACAACCATGAACATCAGAGTCCTTTCAACTCTGACACTCCGTGTCCTCCAAGTAGGTCACTAGCACATGGAAATCACAAAGCCATATGCGTAACACCTCAGAATGGCAATAATGACAGGAAATACTGAAAATTATAGATGATTTTTGCATGAACAATACGATTTGCTCTGCTGCCAACTATGTACGGACTGATGAGTTGAAAGCTTTTTCCCCCCTGCATTTTCCATTAAAAGCATCCCTTTTTGAAGTTCTAAGCCTTCAAAAAGTTAATCTTGACCAAAGAAAAGGGAATATTTTTATGTCAGCAAGCTATTATGTATCCCCAATTTTTAAATAACCTGCAATTCATTTGAGAGTTGTTATTTATTCTCAAATATTTTTTATTAAAAAGAAAGTTGGGAAGAGAACAAAATGCCTAATATTGAAAAGCTAAAGAATGACAATCTTGTCTGAAGATCTCTAAATTAGTAAATAAAATCATATTTGTTTAAAGGAGAGGAAGGATGGGCAATTCTATATTAATGATCCTTTATGATAAAATTTTAAATACAGAAAAACTTCTTTACACAAATAAGAGATTCGGGCTATAAATAAATGGCTCAAGAACAGGCGGTGGATGAAAATGTAGCATCAGGTTTCAGCAGAGCTTCCCTCAGCCTCTGTCCTTTAATTCCTTCAGGTCAGCCACCTGTATGTTCTGTCCTCTCCTTCCTGCCAGGAAACAGTCCCTGCATGTAGTTAAACTAATTTTGGGAATAACTGAAGGCAGATTATCTTTTATAACATGGTGGGGAAAAAACTGTCTTAGACTTTTAAAAATAAAAAAATACCTCCGGTAAAAAGAAATAGTGTCAGTCATTCAGACAGGAGTAAAGTCGATAAAATGAAAAGCAAACAAGTTTCTTTCTCCTGTGATCTATGGTCCTACCCTGGTAGGAATCCTTGTTCACAGTGTCCTATGAATAAATCCCTCCAGAAAAATGTTATGCATATTCTAGCATATCAAAAATATGAATTGTTGTGTATATATCATTTCACACAATGAGGATCCTATCATACTGATCAAGATCTTGTTTTTTTAAATTAAATGTAATTTAATTAAAATGTAATTTGTATGTCTCTCCATATCTGTATATATGAATTTCCCTCATTTTCAAACAGATGCATATTTGTTATGGATTTATCATAATTGACTTAATCAGGACGCTACTAATGATCATTTAGATTATTCCTAGCTTGTGAGGGCAGCTGATGTCCTTGAACATACAGAGGCTTATTTGTGAGTAAACCTTTAGGTAAATTACTAGCAGCGGAATTAATAGTTACAAATTTGATAGGTATCGCAAAACTTCTCTAAAATTGTTGTCAATTCAAATTCCCAACCAGAGTCATGAAAATGCCGATTTTTTCCCATCAATTCACCAACTATGGGTTTTAACAAACGTGACTACTTTGCAAACCTGACGGGTAAGAAGTGTTTTTTTCATTGTTTTAATTTGCATTTCTTTCACTTTGACAGAGGCTGAGCATCTTTTCAAATCTGCAAGCCCACTGCATTAATTTCACCGTGAATTGTCTGGTCATGTGATTTACTTGTTTTTCTATTGGTTTATTTCTTCTTATTGATGTGATAAGGACTTGGTAGATTAAGGAAACTGGTCCTTTGTTGTGGTGTTAAAAATATTTTTCCCATTTTACCATTTGCCTTTACGGCTGTACTTATTGTTGCTCTTTTTTCAAATAATGTTTATGTTTTCATAGACCTTGAGTTTTATGTCATACTCAGACCCTTCTCCATATAAAAATGAGTATTACTATTATTTAAGGCATCAAATTCTGTCTTGTGATTATTCCTTCTTATTGCATTAAAATATGCTCAATTGAGAATTTATTTTTATTTATAAAGCAACGTTGGTATCCATTTTTATCATTTTCCCCCAAACAGCTTGTCCATGGTACTAATGTCATTTATTAAATTATTTTTCATTTCCTTACTTCAAAAGCTATCTTTATCATCTTTTAATTTCCATGAGTATTTGCATCTGTTTCTGAACCACTCTGTCCCGCTGATTTGTCATTCTTTAGTATAAAATTATCTTAATTGTTAGTCTTTGTAATAATGGTCATTCTCTCTCATCAATCTTTTGGGCTATTTTTTCTAGAGTAATTTATGTATCATTATATCAGCCTCTATACCTACATCGCCAACACAAATGGTGTAGGTATTTTCGTGAGGAATTCACTGAAGGAAACATCTCTTTCCAGCTAGTGATATATATTTTGTCTCATGTTCCCCTTCCTGATCTAAGATCTCATGTATGATAACTTCTCATTTGCGAGATATTAGAGAGATAGGTTGTAGAACGGTGATATAAAGCAATATGAAAGCTTTAACAGCTGTTGATTTTTGAAAACCAAAACCAAAAAAGACATTTAAGCCAAGATAATATAAAAGCAAAAATCAGTAGTTCTATAAAGAGATACACTTTTGAAATTTAGTAATTCCAGTTAAAGTCATTAAGGTGACAAAAAACTAAGGCTTCCAAATGTTCTCTGGGAAATAATTTTACCTGCTGTCCTGGGATATGTGAACAACAGGCTTAAGCGATGACATTACTCCTTTGAGTTCTAAGTACATTACTCAGCAATTCTAATTATTAGGCTGTGCAGCACACATGGAAAATGGACAGAAATGCTCCTTTATGTTCTGCTAAAATTGAAAACTGCTGACTCTTTAAAGAGCCGTGCAACTTTTTATTGTTTAGACTATTTTCTATTTTGCACTGTTAGAGAATAAATACACAATTACTTAGATTGCAGAAGCAGGTGACATTTTTGTTCATATGAGATCAAAGGTTATGAACTTACCGTTAGCATATCATCACATTTCATATCTGGTGTATCACCGTCTTCACTTTTATTGTAGAATTTTCGGAAAAAATTGAATGCCACCACGGTGTACAGGTACACAACAACAGCTAACAAGCCAACAGTTAATACGAGCTGGAAAGCAATGTGACAAGGGACAGGTATTAGAAATGCAGGACATGCAATTGACACATGTGGCATCTACGTGGGTGGGGAATGCTCTAGTGAGAACACAGCTGTGTTTACTAGAAGCTAATGGGATCCATAACTTATTTCTCACCTTTCTTACCCCCTCGTGCAGACATTTATTTTCATATTCTCTTTATCAAGTTGTCAGACTAAATTTTATTTATTTTATATTTTATTTTACTTTATTTTTTTTGAGATGGAATCTTGCTCTGTCACCAGGCTGGAGTGCAGTGGCGCGATCTTGGCTCACTGCAAGCTCTGCCTCCCGAGTGGCTGGGATTACACGTGTGCACCACCGTGCCTGGCTAATTTTGTATTTTTAGTAGAGATGGGGTTTCTCCATGTTTGTCAGGCTGGTCTCGAACTCCCGACCTCAGGCGATCTGCCCGCCTCGGCCTCCCAAAGTGCGGGGATTACAGGCGTGAGCCACTGTGCCCTTTCTTCGTTTTATGAGGGCTATTTTCCATAATTTACATTTAATAAAACGCATTTTATTTTTATGACTGTAAATTATTTTTTAATTTTCAATCATATCCTAAATAGAAGTTGGTATTGCCCGTGAAATCTGGGGACACACAATTAGTAATAATGTATAACATAAATATTTTTTAAAACTGAGAAATCTTGCTTTGTAAACAATGACCAAAGTGAAAAACACCACAGCTAATGACCAACACTATTTTGAAGGCTATTTTTCTCAATCTGTAATTAAATGTCTCTGTTTGAAAGGTCTTTCAGCTCTATGTAATCTGTTTGTTTTTAATTCCAAATTATACTTTAATTTTTAGATAGTTATAAGTATATGATAGAATTGTAGAGTATTTTTGATAGAATATGCATATGCTAAAAATGTGGCTTTTCACCAAGTTGGTGAAAATATATTTCTAGTTTCATCACAGAAATTCTACCACGCTAACATGCCTTATCTTTATGTGTACTTTCTCTGATTACAGCAGAACTTTATGGTCTCAACTGTGACTGCCTATGCTGATTAAGTCTTTACAAAATCACTTTACAATTATCTGGAGAAAACATGTTAGCTTAACAGAGGGTTTCATTCATTTCTATAAATGAAGTACAAGGCCACTGTGAATTTCTGCATATTTTACCTGTTAGGACTATTAAACTCTACATATTTCTGCAAATGAACATTTGAGGCCAGGTGGGGTGGCTCATGCCCATAATCCCAGCACTTTGGGAGGGCGAGGCGGGCAGATCACCTGAGGTTCGAGACCAGCCTGGCCAACATGGTGAAACCCCATCTCTACTAAAAATAGAAAAATTAGCCAGGCATGGTGGCACGCGCCTATAATCCCAGTTATGTGGGCGGCTGAGGCAAGAGAATCACTTGAACCTAGGAGGCGGAGGTTGCAGTGAGCCGAGATCACACCACTGCATTCCAGCCTGGGTGACAGAGCAAGACTCTGTCTTAAAAACAAACAAAAAAAGAAAATTTGATACCTCAAAAAGAAAGAAACCCCACAAAGTTCAGAAACTGAAAGTAGTGCCAGATCTTTTATGTAGAAACACACATAGATTTGGCATCTCCAGTTCTTTACTACACATACTGGGAGCTCAAACACAACTTAAGAACTGACTGGCAGATAAATAGACTTTTTGTCACTAGACCCATGACTTGCTGTGCACATCATAGCCATAAGGAGAACCTAAAGTGACATATGTAAGAATAATGTGCTGAAATTTAGAAAACTAATGATAATGGGGACTTAACTGTGGACCCAGTTCAAAGCTTTTAGAGAGGCAATTATTTTAAATTGTGCTGGGCTACAAGACTCTGGAGAAGAAGGATTCTGTTAATCCAAATAACTAACACAGCATATGTTACCACCCAGTGGACACTTGAAAAATAGCAAATGAATTAATGCATACTTCTGCAATACGCTTCATGATAATGGAAAGTTTTAACATTACAAACGGGTTCCATTAGAACATGCATACTTCTGCCATATGCTTCATGATAATGGAAAGTTTTAACATTACAAGCAGGTTCCATTAGAACATAAGTGCATTTTCTGGACCTAGACCAGTTTTCTTCTGAGTCAGCATGACCTTGTCAAATATGAAACATTATCCTTTTTGCTCAATTTAAAAGTAAAGCGTATAAGATAAACAGTTTAAAAATATTACATTAAAATGCAGCATCTCATATTTTACAGCTAACACAATAAGTGCATCAGGATTCTGTAACCTATTTTGGTTCCACATAACAGCAAGTGGAGCAAACACTATACCAGAAACAAAATAGTAACTAAGTTCCTGAGTGCTTAATATGTGCCAGGGGCTGTGTTAAAGCATACACATTTGTTTTTATTTCATTTTCACAAAAATCTGGTAAGGTATGTACTTTTATTATTTTCAATTAATTTATCCAAGGTCAAGTCAAGGCTTGAGTATAGGCCTAGAAGACTCTCAAACTGCTAATCCCTGCAGTTTAGAAGAGGTACAGACCCTTCCTTCCAAAAAATCTTTAAAACTGTACATTGCCATTTGAGGGGTAGTTTTATTTTTCTTTATTTGTTGCTTTTTTATGTTCTGCAATGGGGAAAAAAAGATAAACTGCTTACCTGTTTGCCATTGTGAGTTACTGAGGACAAGATGGTTCTTAATGTCTTGAATCCCATAGCAATGTCGAGAAGGTGAGCAGCAAAAAAAAAGTTGTTATAGTGTCCAAGAACAGACATAGTCATATACCAGGCTAGGTAGAGGAAGGACTATCAAGACAAAATGGGGGGGGAAACATGTCAGAAAATAGAATGCATGACCATTGTTATGGGTTAAGCAAAACAAGCCGGGAACAGAAAGTTAAACTCTACATGTTCTCACTCACATGTGGAATCTTAAAAAGTTAATCTCATGGAAGTAAAAAGTAGGAGAGAGGACACTAGAGATCGGGGAGAAAAAGGAGGTGTAGGAATAGGGAGAGATTTGTTAAAAGATACAAAGTTATAGCTAGATAGAAAAAATAATTTCTAGGGTTCTATACCACTGTAGGATGACGGCAGGTCACAATAATATATAGTTTCAGACAGCTAGAAGGAGGATATTAAATGTTCCCAACACAAAGAAGTGATAAATGTTAAAGAAAATGCATATACTAGTTGCCCTGATCTGATTACATTATATTTATCAAAATATCACTAGGTACCTCATGAATATGTACAATTATTTGTCAATTAAAAAAATTAAAAAGCAACTCCAATTTCACTCTTATAATTACTCTATTTACTTCATCTTTGTACATTATACTTTTTTTTTTTTTTTTTTTTTTTTTTTTTTTTTTTTGAGACAGTCTCTCGCTCTGCCACCCAGGCTGGAGTGCAGTGGCCCGATCTCGGCTCATTGGAAGCTCTGTCTCCTGGGTTCCTGCCATTCTCCTGCCTCAGCCTCCTGAGTAGCTGGGACTACAGGCGCCACCACCTCGCCCGGCTAATTTTTGTATTTTTAGTAGAGATGGGGTTTCACTGTGTTAGCCAGGATGGTTTCGATCTCCTGACCTCAGGATCTGCCCACCTTGCCCCTCCCAAAGTCTGGGATTACAGGCATGAGTCACCGCGCCTGGCTCCCTATACATTTTTATAATTCTAGTTAGCTGTATCAGTTTGTTCTTTGTGTATTTTATTTTTACTTAATTTGTTCTGAAAAGGTCAGTGTCATTCTCTTTAAAACAGTTTTAAAGTGTTTTAAGAATTGTCATTGTTCTTATTTATCCTCCAACAGAGAAACATTTATTGACTTCCTAGTCAGCAGCAGGCTTTCTCAACCCGGCGCATAATAAAGGATTATTGATCAGATAATCCTTTATTATGGGTGCTGTTCTGTGCATGGTAGGATGGCAAGCAGCATCAACCAGATGCCAATCGCACCGACCCCACCTCTCCCCCGAGTCATGACAACCAAAAATGTCTCCAGACATTGCCAAACATCACTGGGAGACAAAGCTGCTCCCCAGCGGAGAAGAACCCTTGCTCTACAGCCAGCCAAAGAACCAGTCACTGCCTCTCCCTCCTTTTCTTCCCTTCTTTGCTTTTCATTTATTCGCTCACTAAATCAGTGTTTGCTGAGACCTACTAGTTACGAAATTACATGTTTTATTAACCAAGCATCTCACTTTACATGAGCCGCAGTAAGTCTAGGAGAAACCCAAATACCATGTGACGTCACTGAAAGCTACAGTACACCTAATAATACAATTGGTTCTGTTGTAGAAGTCTCCTGGGTTATAATTAATGTGGATTATTCACATAGGCTGGAAAATGAACATACTTTTTGGGGAGGGCCGGGACTAATGCTGAATAAAAATATGGTGGCTGTTCTTACTTATGGGACTACAGTCTCTGCTGCATAAGGGATGTTTTGCTGGTGGAGTCAGAAGCTACCCATTTGGGGAAGGGGCGGATACCTTCATTTTGACTGTAAGATATCTTAATCTTTCACAGAGAACAAAAAGAGGGGGCTGAGCTAGGAAGGGGATTTCAAGGACCATGTGGAACTGAAGCTAGAGGTCAAGTGGCAGAAAAGAAAATAGCATTTTTAAAAAGCACACTGAGATAAGACCAAGCGGAGTTTGCTTGGGAAGGAAAATTTGGTTTGAGTGGTGGGTTCCTGTTTTGCAAGATCAAGCTAGAAAAGTGTGACAGTGTTGGAGAGACTTGAGGGCAAGTTAAAGGACATTTGTGTACCCCACAGGAGCTTGAGTGCCACTGCAGTATCATGAGGAGGATAATGGTTTATGAAAAATGGCATTGTAGGAAAATTTCTTGAGCACCTACTAAGTGCTGGTCAATGTTCAATGTAATTGCACACATGGTCTCTTTTTTATTTTAGCAAGATCTCTGATGAACAGGCATGTTTAGCCCCAATTTATATATGAGGAAGTGAGCTTGCTCCAGTTAAGCTATTGTCTAAAATTATTGTTAAGTGGCACAGCCATTAAATTAGAAGACTACTGGACAAGCCCCAGGATGAGGTTACCAGAGCCCAAAAAAGCAGCAAAAGTAAGGATAAGAAGGGAGAATTACAGAGGACACAAACAGGACCAAGATTCAGCAAATAATCAAATGCATGCATTGGAGGGAGAAAGAAGAGGAGTCCGTATGAATAATTTAAGCTTAGGTAGTAAGAAGAAGAAAAATACTAAGAGAAAATTGTAGACTGAAGACTGGATTTGGAGGGGAGGAGCAGAGGAGAAGGAAGATGAAAATCTGCCATGGGACATTCAGATGGAGCTAATCTAATGAGCCATTAAGAAATGCAAAGACTGAGGAAAAGGAAAATTCATGGGCATAAGATGAGTAAGGAACTAAATGACAAGCTGGGCCAAAGGTGCATGTGTGGTCTACATATGTGCTTGCTGCACAGTTAAATTTGAATGAGAGAGAAAGAATAAATGATTTTTAGTTTAGGTGTGTCGCATGAAGTAATCTGGGAGGTGACTGGCCAAACAGAAGCCATGAAACTGCAGGTGGATAAAAGCCTACTAAGGTAGCAGAAAACTGTCTGTCTGAGGAAAGACTCCGTCCTGGATCTATCTATGCTCAAGTTATCTAGAGGACAAAAAAGTTACATAGCAAGATGAATATTATGGATAAGCTGCATCTGGGCAGAAGCTGCATCTGGGCAAAAGTGGGCTCTGCAAATATTGTGGCATGGAAGATTGAGCTTAGCGGGCAGAACTTAAGATGGACTGGCCACTTGAATGGAAAATGCCCATTAGAGCCAAAGTCGAGGATGCCCTCTTGTTATTCAGGGGAGTTGCTTCCATTTGGATGAGAAATTATTTGTAAGATAGTGTATTAATAGTTTATAGTTCTAAAAGATAATTTTGAACTCTTAGAGAATGCTCCTAAGATACCCAGAGCTCTGGGCCCATGGCTGGATGAGGGAAGGGGTAAGGATAGAGGCAGGAGAATTTGGGGGCTATCAAAGGCTTCTAAATAGGAGAATGGAACTAATGTTAACTATAAAAGTCAGTGCTAAAATTAAAGAGTGAAATCTTGAGACACCTGGCGGTTTTTAGTAATAGGTAATTTTTTTTTCTATTTTATTTGAATATATATTAGGGCCCTATATTTAGTCTCTAAAGAATATTTGGTAAAAGGAGAATAAAATAAAAACTCCATAATTTAATGTACTTAATTTGGGGAAAACCTAAATTTAGCACAATTAATGTTCTTTGAAAATTATTTAGGAGTTTCTTTTTAACGTCTATAAAACTGAAGTATGCCATTGCCCAATTAAAACCTTAATGAACATACTCACAAATCTGCATCTCAGTTTTTCTTTTGTGTAAATATATTTTCATTTTAATGTTTCGGCTATTGAAAGAAATGGAATGAGAGATGGGCTCGTTAATCATATCATTCTGTGGCTCTCTCTCCAGATCTGGTCTGTATGCAATGAACTGGTATTTGAAACATTTTCTAAATAACCATCCTTCCATCTACAGAACTCCCACAGACTTATCTAATCAGAGTGCATTTTCTTTTGTGATAATGAAGTAGGCTTACGTTGTCAGTGAAAACCACTCCTAGTTTCCACATCTGATACTTCACATCAATAGAGTTCAGTCTGCAATGACAAAAAAAAAAGTGTAGTTATGCACATTAATCAAAGACTCATAGGCTTGCAAGAGCTGACGGCCTTCGCGTTCAATGGCACAAGACTTGGAAACCTTCTAAGGAAACTAGTTCTATCCCAGATGCCAAGGGAGGAGCTGAGAGCCAACTCTGACACTGTATTCTAGAGTTTCATGATGTGTTTTTAGAGGATCTTGGAAACCAAAACACCATCACCTTAGTCTTATGTTATTTAAAAATAGTCCTTTCTTTTTCACCTTTCTCTTTCCTACATTCACTATTAACTTTTTTCTTTTCTTTTCTTTTTTTTTTTTTTTTTGAGACAGAGTTGCACTCAGTCACCTAGACTAGAATGCAATGGTGCAATCTTGGCTCACTGCAATCTCTGCCTCCCGGGTTCAAGCGATTCTCGTGCCTCAGCCTCCCGAGTAGCTGGTATTACAGGCATGCCCTACTACTCCTAATTTTTTTTTTTTTTTGTAGAGTTGGGGTTTCATCATGTTGGCCAGGCTGGTCTTGAACTCCTGATCTCAGGTGATCTGTCCGCTTTGGCCTCCCAAAGTGCTGGGATTACAGGCATGCACCATTGTGCCCAGCTACATATAACATTTATTCCTTGAAACTGTACTAAATTGGCCAACATATGTACACATCAAACATTTCCTCACTAACTTTTATATGCACTTGCAATGGCATGCCAACAGAGTAACTTTTCATTCAAATAATAAAAGCTAGCATAAATATACACATTTATTTTACAACTATCTTATTTTATAAATGGAAGGGCTTTTAAATTGTTTTTACTTCATTTCCAGAAAATTCACTTTCTCTGTTTCCTTTTCCATGCAGGCAGGAATTTAGCTCTTCCCCTCGGTTCTCATAGCATTTTGTAGACAATTCCTTTTATTATTATTTCCTACGTTGTCTTACAGTTGTGGGTGCTGGTGTATGCATGTATGTGGATATACGCCTCTCTCACTAGTCTGTGAACTCCCCAGCTCCACGCACAATAGCTCACACACTGAATGTCTAAATGCATATATGTTGAATGAATAAATCCTAAAGTAAATATTTGTGATCTTTGTAGATTACAAACACGTGTTAATTTTCATTTTTCAGAACTTGCCACTGATTTATTGGCTAGAAATTATAACTTTGCCAACCTTTCCAATATTCCAGCTCTAAGTAATCGATATGAAATAATGCATTTTAACATAATGGCAATATTATTTTCTAAAGGGTTTCTCTAGACTTAATGTTTTAGTCTTTATTGCCTTCTTTAATCATTTCTTTTAATTAGGCTAATCTTAAATTATAAATGCTAAGATAAGTAGGTGCATATCAAAGGTGACTTTTTAGGAGATTTTTTTCACTAAGGGTTAAGGCTCAGTTAACTTAGTACAGGATTTAAAAAAATTTTTTTATCCTTAAAGAAATAAAGTTATCTATGAACTAGAATTAATTTTATCACAGGAGCCTTTAAAAAAAGTTCCATAAATATTTACAACAGGTTTCAATATAAGAATGTTTTTTCTTAAATTAAAAAAGGAAGAGTTGGGAGAAAAAAATGGAGTAATTTGTATGAGAGCATAATTATTTTACATTAAAGCAATCTAAAACAAAATAACGGTTTATATCAGGATGTATGAATTGCCTACGGTGGTTTCTTATTTTATTTTAAAAATTATTCTTCAGAGTTATTTTCCATCTCTAGCATACTTTAGTGTGACAGTATACCATCAATATCACACAGCAGCACACCCCACTCATTTCTCACCCGTAAGTGGTAGCCATGCTGTTTGGGTGAGGCTGACCCCACCCCTGGGGCAGGGCCATGGCTGAGCTAAGCCAATCAGAACACGGTCTTCCTGGTCGTGGGGGCGGGAGGATGCCAAAGCTCCAGTGAAGGGTAAACTATAACCAGGAAGCTTAGTTTTGCTAGATGTTTTGAAACATGATCTCCTTTCCTCCCCAATGAGGACACAAATGCAGACTTTCTGACTGCTTGCAGCTATTCCACCCCCAGAAATGGAGCTGACCACTTATTTAAAGGTGCACATACCAAGCCTTATGTGTTTGATAAATAAATATATAAATCATCCTTGTATTTCAATGTTCACATTAAGATAGGGTTCATATATAAATTGGATAATCTTTTAAAACCTGACCTTCCTAAATGCTTTAGTTAAAGAGACATTATATGTAAATCTTTTTCCTAGTTGTACATTATTTACCAGAACTTTATTCTTCTAATTTTATTCTCCATATGTAAAGGTGTTAAATGCTATATGAACTTCTTGGTACTTTGCTAGGAGTCAAACTTACAAACATTTACTATGTATAATGGTAGAAAACTATGCCAATTTAAAACTATTTTCATAGCAGAAAAGCAGCCTAAACTTCCCTTCTATTTTTTCAGACTTTTTTTCTAGAGTCACAAATGTGACCATAGAAAATGCATAACTCAATAAAACTACTTAATTCGGTATTGCTTATTAAGGATCTGAAAATGTCTGTGGGATGCTCAGCCTCACTCACACCCTAGTTCTTGTTTCATATGATATATATTTTTTATACTTTTCTAACATAAGGGACACAGGTCCTAAGGATTGCTCATCTGTGTTCGATTTTACATGCAGTGGCACAACTTTTAAATATACATTTGTTTTCCTAGAGTACTCAAGTAATATTTTGGACCTTAATTCACATTTGCTGATCTAAGTTCTTTTCAACAGTAAGTTCAAAAACAAGTTCACCTTAACTTTAAAGACCCAAGTAGCTCTAATAAGTTTTCAGATAGATAAAAACAATATGACCAATGAGATAGGCCAACCAAACTATCTTTTTAATGCTAGGTAACAGATTATCTAAGAAAATAATATTGCTTCACAGAACCATAAATACGTTTTCAAAGTAACCATCACATCCCTAATCATGTTAAGAGAAAGTATTGTTTCTTCCAGAATCATTAAGTGACTACAACAAGCAATTATATTTTTAAAAGCATGTTTTACTTTTATTCCAGAGATTCAGTTGATCAAATTTGCTAGATGGATGTATGTATATATCTCTACACTCACACTATATATATGTGTGTGTGTGTGTGTGTGTGTGTGTGAGAGAGAGAGACATTTAAACTCAGGTACATTCAACTCAACTGGTTTAAAAACATTATTCCATGAAAGCAGTACATAAAGAGTGTTTCATTTTGAAGTAAACTTTACAAGTAATAGTATGACGGGATATTATTTCTGACATACTAAGCCTTTGCTATTCAAAAAAATATGATAATTATAATAAAGTAATATGAGTTCCTCTGAACATTGTAAATAAAAGGGCTACATAATTTTCTTATGTTTTGGAAAAGGGAACTAATATTTTTTCAAACAGGAATTACCAGAAATGAGCCATATATTGAGTTTTTGTGTGTGTTTTACTATGTATAAGTAAATTATAGGATTTAAGGATCATTTAAAGACAGAGAAGGCAAATTAAGTCAAAAACATGAATAGTCTTTCTTTTCTCTTGTAAATATTAAAAGGTACCTCCAAAATTAACAGAAAAAAATCCAATGATTCCAGAGTTCCAAATACCAAGAAGTGTAAAAGTAGACTTTATATACATTCTGTTTTCCTCATCTATCTATTCTTCTGACATTAAAGGAAAGGAAATCAATGCACAAGTTTAGAAATGTATTAATGTTTTCCCTTTTCAATCTAAGTCTGTAGGATAGAGCCGAAGTAACACTTACACAGCTGATAAGGAGCTGTCTTTCTTTGGCTTCTTCTTTTCTCTGGCATCACTGAAGTCCAGAGCTGCCTTGTCCATGCCAAGTAATTCACTAATTCTGTCTCGGCCGTAGAACTCTCCGTACTTATCCATTACCTTGGGGTATGAGAAAAAGCATTTTATTGGCTTCAACCATTAAATAAAATCTATATGTGTGTATAAAACATCTAATCATTTTTATACTTACTGTGTATTAGCCCTAACAATCACCTAAAATCTAGTTTATGGCTCATCTTCTGTGATCACATGCTTAAGGTCTAAACAAATTCACTGTGTTTTACATAATACCTATCTGAGGAATAAGATTTATCTCTCATTCAAGAGAGGGAGACATACCAAGGAAGAAGATGAGCTGAAATAAAAGCATAAGAAATGGAGGGAAATGGAACGAGAGTGACCTTTACTAAATTAATACTTTGTGTCAGAAATTATGTTTCATTCCATGGGACTGTCACAATATGTAGGTTTCATGTGATTGATATTCTGCAGATAAAGAAACTGTACTTTAGAAAACTTCGTGTAATGTGCTTAAGGTTGCTAAACTCAGCAAGAGATGGGGTCCAGAAAGCAACCAGGCCATGCCTGACTCCCCAGCCAATGATCCTCTGCATAGACCTCTGCATGCTAACAGGGGGCACATCACAGGGTGGCATTCTTCCATGCTCTCGATTTCAACCCTTCAACTCTCTGACCACAAGGCCCATCTTTCCACCCCACTCCCCTGAGTATCCTGACCCCAGCAATTCCTCAGTAACACCAGGACCTGCAACCTTGTCACCATCCTCAGCCTGCCACCACGCCCGGCCATTATGTGCTATTCTGGAAATTCGTATTTGGCCGGACGTGGTGGCTCACGCCTGTAATCCCAGCACTCTGGTAGATCAAGGCGGGTGGATCACCTGAGGTCAGGAGTCGGAGCCTGGCCAACATGGCGAAACCTCGTCTCGACTAAAAATACAAAAATTAGCCAGGCGTGGTGGCGGGCGCCTGTAATCCCAGCCACTCGGGAGACTGAGGCAGGAGAATCACTTGAACCCGGGAGGCGGAGGTTACACGGTTGCAGTGAGCCAAGGTCGCGCCACTGCACTCCAGCCTGGGCGACAGACCGAGACTCCACTTCAAAAAAAAAAAAAAAAAAAAAAAAGACATTAATAGGCAGATAAATTATACCTCGATATCTTATTCTACAGCTGAATCACATCAAATTAAAATCCAAACTGTGCTTTAAGAAAAATATAGAGGATTCCAAGTAGTATTACCTTTCTTTTAACAAATTTGTCCCAGTAGTTGTTGGGAAATGACCTAAAATATAGAAAAGCATAGAAGTAAATAGTATTATTTTTAATGACAAATAATAACATATCATTTGGGATATATGGCATACTTAAAATAATATGTAAACATATATCCTGCCATCCATGTAAACTTACAATGAATTTGGTTAACATCACATAATTTCCTGCATCATAGGTATTTGAATATTATTTTAAATATTAACATGTAAATATATACAAAAGCATATAAGCTGATACTTTAATGGAGAAGAATATGAGAATATTTATTAGGTAGTATTGCTATTTATTTGTTTTTATCATATCAATACATAGACCTGTTTATCAATTGCCTTTAAAAATTAAAGTATCTAGAAACCTGTCATTGTTATTCCTATGAAGAAAAAAAATCTCCTTCCTACCAGTTATCCTCAAAGAAACTTTGAGCTTAGCACCAAAGCACAACTCTAGCACCTTAACTAATACATAAAGAGTTTACCTAAAGGGAATGACTTGTTTAGACTTAGTATTAATGGTAGAATTGCTAAACAAAGCATTTAGCATTTAGAATAAACATGTATCATGTATAAGTAAATCATCTCCATTTGACAACTCAGAACCCACTAGCAAATAACTTTTAATAAGCAAAACTAATCACAATTTTAAAAAGATTTCACTCTTGAATAGTAAATATAAACTATTACAACTATTGCAGTACTAATTCTTTTTACAGTGAAAAATTATACTTTTGTGATGGATTTATATTCAGAACAGCAGCTGGTAGTTTGGATCTTGATCTCACAGGGCTAAATGATTATTGGATCAGAAAAGCTTTTGTTTTTCTGTCTTATATTTTACACCATGTCCTAACATTTAGTTAGTTTCATGCTAGGCCACTTGATGGTACTGAAAGTTGATAACTCAGATATATTCAAGGTGTAAAATTCAATATGTTTTCCTTTAATGCTACAACTTTTTCCTTAATGAATAATTTTTGCTTCCTCTGCTTTTGGATGAGATAACCTGCCTGCAGGTCATGCACTTTCTGTGACACACATCCCTGAATGCTGAGTAAAGGATGTGAAGTTCCATCAGTGCTGTGGAAATGAACTCTAAGCCATTTTTGATTAAGGAATTCAGAACTCAGAGGGCAAAAATTGAGGACATCCATTAAGGAGGCTGACGGCGCTGAGTCTTTAGATTTTTCTTGACTGAATATATAACTATTATTCACCTCTGCTAAACTTTTGACAAATCTGCAGGAATTCCAACCAAGTATTTTCATGTCTGGAAATTTGTGAGTGCAGAAATGTCTCATATAATTCTTTACTCACTGTGTGTTGATTACGAGTCTATCCCACTGGCCTTTAATATCATCTTCTGAAGGCTGTTCTGTAATATAAAGCCCATCAAATTCCAATTTCCGTGCTACTTCCTTTTCTCGCTTAAAAATAACCAATGGGACCTACACAGGAAAAATAAATATGTTAAAATTAGTTTAGATTTACTGGCATCTCTTGTGGTCACTATCTTTACAAAACAGCTTTTGGAAAGAAATATTTCCTGTGTACTTCCAGGAAGGTAAAAATGGAATGAAAATGAATCGGCTATATTCAAGCAGGAAGAAGCATCTAGAAGGTTTTGGAAAAACAGAAGATAGAATAGATATTACATATATGCATATTTTTAAACACATAGGGGCTTATAGATAATTACACTAATGAAATCATTTTTAAACTTCAAAGACGAAAAGATGATTATGCAAAATCATTTTCTTTTTACATATATCTCTCAACATGAATGAATGAAATAAAATTTAGCCATCGCAGCAGTGTTCCCAAATGCATGCTACTAAAGTGCAGTTTCATTTGAGAAACCTCTTTAATAATTTCACGCTCAGGATCACCACATACTAATTTGAGATACATTTTAATTTCAACATCAGCAAAAATCTTTGTCAGTTTGTCACAATATCTCTGGAACATAATGATCCTCTTTTTATATGGACAGACTTTACACAAGGCACAGACAGCAGACAGACACAGATATTCTGGAAATAGCCAAGAATATGCACTCCCATAAAACAGAATAAACGGGAGGAAAGGAGTTCCTGAAGAACACTTTACATTCTAGTCTTTTGCTGAGCCCTGGTTTTTTCAAATGTCTTCTGCAAGATTTACAACCAGAGGCAGAGGGTGGTGAAAGTGAAATAAAGGCATCACAGTGAAAAAGCGCCTTGCTAGGAAAAGATAAAGAGGTTTGCACAGGTAATGGGCAGCCTTGAGCACTCAGAGAGATTATCTTGGGTTCTATTCACCAAATTATATTGTTCCCTTGGCAGGCCTCTAGGGATAAAGCTGCATTATTTTCTGGGTGAAGTGTGACAAATCATGAGGCATTTCTGCCAAGAATAGCAATAGATACTTCCCTAATAACAAAGCAATAAAATAACTCCTAGGATCGATACAATGTATTTCTGTAAGTCTTAATATACTGGAGTATCACTGCATTACCAGGAGACATAGTGGGTGGGTGAGCTCTTACTTCTGTAGGGCCGTTATAGGCGAAATTCTCTATGTGAATAATTATCAGTACATGAAAGAAAGCTACTTTAAGACAGCTGATGGCCATAGCCCCTTCCCAGGGCAGACTAGTCAATGTAGACATAAAATGGCCAGGCTCCAATGCCTCAGGCCAGGACAGCCCTGAAGGGGCATCCCAGCTTTGGAGACTGCACCTGCTATGTCTACAGTAGCCCAGCTTTCCCCTCTGTCCCATCCTGCTTCCTCCATTTGCCCCAAGCACGTTGATTCACGGAGCATTCCGTCAGAAACTTTGTACACAACATTTCCAGTTCAGAATCTGCTTCTCCAGAGGTCCAGACTGCAACACACACACACACACACGCACACAGAGGTACCTTGGTGCCTTACTATCTTACTTTCAAGCAGTAGTATCCAATGATGCAGAAGAAGGAAATGACCGTGTGGAGAATAGCTAAGATACGCAACGTGGGCTCCATGTAGCCACTGCTCTCCTCCAGTACATAGTGAACTGCGATGATTCTATGGGAGCTGCTGTCCAGGCTGGTCACTTTGGCATTTTCACTTGAACTTCTAGTGGGGAGCTCCTTTCCTTCAACCACAGAAGAAGTGGAGACCTGATTCAAAGCATTTAAAGTAGAGTCAATTTGCTGCATCTAGGATATCATTGCAAGCAAAAGACAAAAGAAATATAGCCTTTTTAGCAAACAGTTGAATGTGAAGTTACTGCATAATGAAAGGACTAATAGCAAAGGCTAAAAACGATAGCTTTTCAAAAACCAAAGGCAAGTAGTGAACATACTTTTAAAATTCATTCTTATTCAACCAAAAGTTCTGAGGATTCCAGTGCATGCAAGAAAAAAATTAGATGGCTAAGCTCTCTTCTTAATTATAAAAGAATGTAATACAATACAGGTATGCCACACCCAGACATAATCACAAGTAAGATATTCAGCTAAATTAGGCTGGGAATACTGTGGGTAAGCCCTCTGCTAAATCAAATGCCCTTCGGTTGAGGCATTTCTTACTTCTCAGGAACAAATCTTGCCTTCCTAGATAACAGAGATATCAGTGCCTAGGCATCAGTATTTCATAATAGGTTTAGACATGTTCACTAGCAGTAGTAGATATGTTCATCGTGAAATCTTTACATTCATTTCTATTCGTAGTTTTATACTCGTTATTAAAACAAAGATGTACGTACCTTATAAAAGAGCAAGATGAAATTGATAGCAAATGCAACAAATAAGGCTAACATTCTCATGTTGTAAAAGTTGCGAGCAAAATAGTTCTGAGGGTGAAAAACATTACGAGAAGGTCACTGAATCAAGAGACTTGAAATCTGCAATTTAAATAAAGCATTCATTCATTTACCCCAGACAACTGATTGCAAGCCTACTGTTTCAAGCACCATTCTTGGTGCTGCAGACCTAACAGTGAGGGAGAACATTTCTGCCACCATGGAGGAGATAAAGAATAAAAAAGCATATCCGCAAATGAAAAACATAATTTCAGAGAACGTTAAATACTAAGAAGAAAACTACATCAGGTTAGGAGCTTAGGGAATAGGGGTGCTATTTTAGATGGTGCTGGTCTGGGAAGATTTATCTCAGGAGGTAAGCTTTGAACAGAGAGGCCTGAATACAGGAGGGGAGCAGGTTATGCAAACATTTGGTGAAAGAGTGTGTCAAAGACAGGAGCAACAAGGGCAGAGGCCCTGAATTAGGAGTGATGTCGGTGTGTTTGAGAAATAGAAGGAAACACAGTGAGAAGAAGGGAGACTGGTGTGTGGGGGTGGCAGGGGGATATGATCAAACAGGGGAGCAGGGGGCAGGGTTTTGTAGGCTTCTGATAAAAGGTTGTCTTGTCTTTGACAGTGTGGTGGTTCAGTTTACACTCTCTGAGGCCTCACTGCCTGGATATGAAGACTGCCTGCCTCCATTTCCTAGTGTGGGATATGGACTAATGACTTAATCTTTCATGTAGCATCACTCTGCTCATCTGTATGCGAAGTGGGATAACAATAGACCTTAACTCTCAAGTGCACTTTGCGGATGAAATGTTAATATAGGGAACGTTTGTTATTAATATTATTATATCATTATAATAAATGTAATATTCTAGTATAATTATTGTTTTAGTCTAGGTGGGATGGGAAGCTATTAGAGGATTTGAGGGGGGCTTGGTGCAGTTGGATCATGATTTGGAAGGACCACTCCAGCTACTATGTGGAAAACTGATAGTAGTAGAACAAGAGTGAAAGCAAGAGGACCAGTCAGAAAGTAAGTTATACCAGACGTCAGGCAGAGGTGAGGTTCATGGTGGTGGGCTGGACTTAATGGTACCTGTGAAGATGGCAAGAACTGGGCAGACTCGATGTATTTGGAACAACTGAGAAGAATTATCGTTGGGTTGTATTTAAGGTGAGAAAGAGGCTTCAAAGATGATAACCTCTGAATTTGGCAGCCTGAGCAACTAAGTGAACAGCTGGTACAATTTATTGGGCTGGGAAAAAATAAAGCCTCGAGAAGTGGGTTTAAAGTAATAGGTTATGGTGGACATTAAGTATTTGTTTTAATATTAAGTGGGAGATGTCAATATAATATAAGTGGATATGTCAGGGGATTTACCATAATAAAGCTACATCCAAATGTAACACCTCAGAATGGTATCCCCCTCTGTGTACACACCCCATCTCTGTTCGTATCATTTCCCCATACAGGACCCCATCTTTACTGCCAGAGATTACTGGAACAAGGCTGTCCACCACACCCAGACTGGGCCAGTTTCACTGGTTCTCCTTGGAAGGTGGATCTGGGTCACAGAGGCTGAGTTAGCTAGCCTGAGCTCTCACTTAGGGGAAAAGGGGCCTTTGGTAGACGGATGTGGCCATGATTGGTCACGTGCATGCAAATCGGTGAGCCGAGAAAGATAGCAAAGAGATGCAGGAAAAGGGAGGAGCTGTGCAGAGACAACAGAACATGTGAACCCTGGCACAGTGAGAGCTGGAAGCAAAATCTCAACTACTTGGTTTACACAACTGTAGTTAAACACATTCTTCAGGAACCCACTGGGGTAGTGCGGAGCCCGTTCAACCTTTAAACCATTTGTAATAGAACTATACCTGCAGCCATGGAAGCCACTATGGCATACCAAATTAATAATTATTCAGAGTTACCTAGGAAACATTTATGTTCCATGTATTCTGTATTACGTAATATAGGGAAAAATACAAGATGGTTTAGGAAAATGTAGTTACAACTAAATTAATTTGCCTAAAATATATAATACATAAACATATTTAAAGATAAGCATTTAGAATATATAATTACTGAGGACAGTCCACTTTCCTTATAAGAGAAATTCTACAGTCCATTGAGTTTCTGGGTTGTCAATTTTTGATTTCTCAAGGGCTATAAAATACTAAATATGATTCTGCTGTTCAAATGGCTTTATTATGAGGGTTGTTGTTCTTAATTTCTAGGCCTAACATCACTGGTCAGTACCTCTTGTAGGTGGATTCTATATGCTTATCTCCTATCCTTTTCCTCCTTTATGAAAATCATAAAAATGTATAAAAATTATACATATATACACATAATTATAAAAATTATACATATATCGATACATATGTATAATTTTTACAAAGGAGGAAAAGGATAGGAGATAAGCATGTAGGAAAAGGATAGAAGATACCCATGTATGTGTATATATATATGACATTACACACGCATGCTTATAAAAGGCCTTTCAAATAATATTTTTAAGAATTTCAAGATCAATATGAATAGACAGAGCTATACCTTTTTTCGTTGTTTTCCAAATATGAATGTGTGCTTTACTAATTAGGGGAACACCTCTGCAAAATGTACAGGACACTGCATAAATAACTGTAATCCCTCTTTCTAAAGAATACTTTTGAATAGACTTTCTTATTATCAATGGAAAGTGGCTCAATTAGCTAATATTTTTATACCTGGATTTTTAAGTAAAAGGGTGATGTTATAGAAATACTGACTAATCGAGTTCTGGAACATTAATTTGAATTACTTGTGCCCTAGAAGGCACATCTTGCTTTAAAACCTGTTGCAGGTCCTCAGAATATTTTTATTCTAGCGTCTTTGTGGGCAGACACTGGGAGTACCGTCCTGGCAGGAACCAAATGAAAGGGTTTCAGGGAGTGTGAACATGAGTAGAGGTCATGGGTTTGACAGTAGGGAGTGGTGGGCCAGATACATTCACTATAAAAGATAAACACTCTACAATGGGCAAATCAAACATGTGCTGGGCTAACCTGGTTCCCTAATTGTCACTCAGGGAGAGGTCAGCAAATATTTACTGAGCCTAAATTATTATGGTATTGTACTATATCAGTAACAATATTCATTCTAAAACATCTTACTAGAAGTTTCTGTTGGTATGCTATGATTTTCTTCCAGAACGCTGACTCGGGCACTTCCGGTTCTCCGTATCTGTGTGTGTGAAGCTGCCTCAACTTTTGTTTGCCCTTGTCTTCCTTGGCTTTCTCTTCTTTTTCTCCATCTTCTCCCCTGTGAAAACAGATGAACAAAATATAAGCTCCATAGAAACTAAAGAACTAAACGGGTGTTGTGGAAAATTACCCAAGTGAACAAATATTTTAGACCACTGTATCACTTCTGAAAACTAATTTCTTTTCTGGTGAACAATAATATTCTGAATTTTAGAATCAGGGGTAAGAGTTCCTGTTGATCACAGATTCTATGAAGCTGAAATATAGAGGACATTTTATAGGCTTGACTTTATACATAGCAGATTCCTTCCAATTCTGCAATAAAACATTAAAAAAAATGAAGACTGACTTTGCTGTGACTGTCCAACATATCCTATTTGTAAATTATAATTTCAAATTTTTTTTTTTGAGAAGGAGTCTTGCTCTGTCACCCTGGCTGGAATGCAGGGGCACCATCTCAGCTCACTGCAACCTCTACCTCCTGGGTTCGAGTCATTCTCCTGCCTCAGCCTTCCAAGTAGCTGGGATTTATAGGGATGTGCCACCATGCCCGGCTAACTTTTTTATATTTTTAGTAGAAGACTGGGTTTCACCATGTTCGCGAGGCTGGTCACCATGAACTCCTGATCTCACGATCCATCCGCCTCGGCCTCCCGAAGTGCTGGGATTACAGGTGTGAGCCACCGCACCCAGCCTGGATTACACGCGTGAGCCACCGCACCCAGCCTGGATTACAGGCGTGAGTCACCGCACCCAGCCTGGATTACAGGCGTGAGCCACTGCACTCAGCCTGTAATTTTAATGCACAATTTTTAACATTTGCCATTAAGATTTAAAATCAGAGGCCTACACACTTAATTGTTCACATGTATAAAGTGTATCATTATACTCACACTTTGACATATATTAATTGTAATTAATTTCATTAAATAAAATACATTAAGTGAATTATAGTAATGTTATATTAATTCCAGACAATAATGGAATTAGAAGAATTGACATTTGATATCCTTTGGGTACAAAATATCAGTCCTTCATTAAATTAAAGTGAAGTCATATGTATTAATACATAAACCAGAAATATTAATATATAAGCTATACTTAACTCATATGAGGTGGATATTAAAGAATTGCCATTGAAATGCCTGTCTTGCTGTTATTTGTTATATGTCTACTTTTTATGTGACCATTTTTACAACAGACCCAATAGTGTAAGGTCTATGACAATGCATAGTGCTGACTACAAAGAACATACGATGAAAACAGACCAAAGAAAATGACAGAACAGAGGAGAAAATTTCAACGCTATGGGAGAATAGTGGCACTACAGGCAACTAAAAGCTTCCTTTCTTCCCCCAACTTTCAAATGTGCGTATAAAATTCTATAAACGTGAAGAAAGATGCAGGCTTCGATTATTCACAGAAACCTGGTGTTATGAGGGAGTTATGCATTTCCATCGCCTCACATCCAGCTCTTTTTTTATTGCTGCATTGATACCAGGAGTGTTGGTGAAAATGAAGGTTCCCAGGCCCCACACCAGACCTGCTGAGGCAGGATCTATGCCCTGGGGCCCAGGAATGTTTGTTTTAACCAACTCTCCTGGGGATTTTTATGCATGTGGCCCTGGGTCTATAGTTTGGGGCCCAAGAATGTTAGTTTTTTTTTTTTTTTTTTTTTTTTTAAATACTTTATGTTGGAATGTTAGTTTTAACCAACTCTCCTGGTGAGTTTTATGCATGTGGCCCTGGGTCTATGGTTTAAGGAGCATCACTCCGCAGGATTCTATGAAGGTGCATTTGGAATGTTTGTTTCCTCCTTCCTTGAAAAGGACAGAAATACATGAGTGATTTTTAAAGACAGAATTGTGGCCCTGAGTGCTCTTACAAACAGCATTCCATGGAATCACTGGAGTCTTTCCTGCTGACAGGGAATCACACAAACGGAGGTCCACATGGAATGAAAGGAAAAGACTAGAATGGCAGCCCTGGGGGCGTCTACAGTGATCACTGCCTGTGGCCTGAGGTCCTCGCCATCAAAGCCTCTCCACGGAGATGGCAGAATTAGTTCTGTGGCTCCTTGGCAATATGAGATTCTCCCTTGCGGCTCCCAAAGACAGAGTACAAGAAAAAGAGATGTAATGACAAACTGAAATGAAGGAAAAGTATATGCAAACTATACATACTCGGCTTTTTCAGGTTCAGATTTGGTTTCTTCTTTTTCTTCCTTTTCTTCTTCTTTTGCCTTCTGTTCCTTGAATGAGTCAATGGGGGAAAAAAAAACCAGGATTACCCATCACCTTTGAATGAATTTAGGGAGCCATGTAACCATGTGTCAAACCATAACCTATAGAAGACACCCTCTTGCTTCCACCACGATAAAAGTGCCACGTGTTTGTCATTTTACGGGGCCAAACATCTCCCACTTCTTCTGCACACTGACCTACTGCACCAGCAGTAGGGACAAACTTTCTGGGACTCCTTTTTACTCTCTTTTCTCATTTCTGAAATACCCTTCTTTATCTTAGGCACCTATTAAAATCTTACTCATCCTTTGAGGCCAATTTAAATCCTACCTCTTCATTCCTATCTAACTACTTTAAACCATACTGGCATTGCCATTCTCTCAAGATAAGCAACCCCTACTGCCCTGCCTATACTATTTAACAGTTAATCATTTTCTAGTTTCTTCATGTGTGTTAGTTTTATCTCTGGAATAAACTTTTTAAGGTAATTTGAAGGCAGTGACCCCATCTTACCTTTGAATTCCCTACATACCCAGTGGTGTCAGACACTTGGTAAATATGCCATATTTATGGATGGAATGATGGCTCTATGGACTGACTAATGACTACAAAGAACATACAATGAAAACAGGCCAAAGAGAATCACAGAACAGAGGCGAAAATGTCAATGCTCTGTGAGGATAATGCCACTACAGGCATCGAAAAGTTTTCTTTCTTTTCCCAATTTTTCAAATGTGCATATAAAAGTATATAAAAGTGGAGAAAGATGTAGGCTCCAGTTAGGGTGGGTACTGAAGCTTACACCTTAATAATTTAAGATAATGTAATAATTCATAAGGACTCAACACTAACTTTGTCTACCAAAAAGCATTTCTCTTTGGAAATTCAAGTCACGTAGGTAACACCGTTCTGGCAGTAGCATGGAACCTGGTCTAATGATCATCTATTATACCCCCCTGAAGTCCAGAGAGAATGCTGCTGTGACTTAGAGATAAATTACCTGAAATTTTTCTTGCACCTCAGGCATGGGGACTGGGTTGCTCATGAGGTCACTGAGCCCAGCATTTGGATTATGAGGGATTAGTTTGTACTGTCCTCCTTCTCTCTTCAGATCCAGGCCGAAGATGTCCGAAAGAAGGTCACTCTCTTCTGTCAGCTCCTTTAAGTCGGTCAGATCCTCAGAGGGCAGGGCGGCTTCCAGGGTTTTCCTCTCTCCCTCCTCCCCATCTCCTCTAACCTCATCCTGAGTGGGGTCTGGCATGTTGGCTAAGAGTTCTGCAACTTTGATCTTTTTAGCACCTTCGACGAGGCTTCCCCCAAGCAGCAGGCTGCAAATGATGCGGAAAAAGCCTCTGAAAACGCTGGCCACGAAGTGCAAGAGGGTCATAAAAATACTCCAGTAGGATGAAAAGAAGGCCGTGACCATGTCCTTCACGGTCATCTTTTTGACTTTTTTCATCTGCTTCTTCAGGCTCTTCAGACTGAGCATTCGCATAAGGGTCAAGATATTGTACCTGAGCGCAAACAGGGCCGACTTGACCGTCAGAATGGAGAAGAAAGCCATTCTCGGCCCCTGCTCTTCCGGCCTCTCCTTCTCACTTTCTTCCTTATTCGCTGACCTCTCGTTCAAATCCGACTCTGAGATCTGAGCCGCCAGCTGCATTTCAAAGATGGTGTCCTCGCAGAAGTTCACAAAGAGTTCCATCTTCTCTTTTTCTCCTCCTTCATTGACCACATCAAATATGAACTGTCGTTTGGACTCCTTGACCTGGGGCTTCTCCCACTGGGTTCGGCTAGACTCACTGATTTCAAAATAGACTCTCTCGATGCGTTTGGCGCTTCCCATGATTTCGATGCGGCCCAGAAAGGGCTGGAAATAATTCAGGACACTCTCTGCTAATTCTAGGAAAGTCTGAAGTCGGGTATCGTTGGGCATGTGCTCAGAGAGGTTTGTCAGAAGGACGGCGACATTGAAGCCGATGTCCTTTGCAGGTTCGTGGAAGCGTTTGACGAACTCCTCATAGTCAAGGGTTTCATTCTCATCCGTCTCCGCACAAGACAAAAGAAATTCCGTTTCTGACTGCGTGTAGTGCTTATGACTCTCCATCGCTTTGTGGAAGTCCCTCTTGGAAATGACTCCCTTGCCATCGGGGTCATATTCTTTAAAAGTATCAGACGACGTCAAATCTTTCAGTTTTAAGAACATGTCAAAAAATTTGAGAATCATCTCCACATTGTTGGAAGATTCCACAAGCATATCCACCATCTGTTTGCCAATCGTTCCGTTAACAACATTACCTGGTGGTAAAGCAATTGCATTTGTTTACAAGAAACTGTAACAAAATCAATGATTATAGAGAAGATAACAATATAGATCTTTAATAACATCTGAATGAAGGATATGTCCTGGTTTATCGCTCACTCTATAAAAAGATAATTATTTATAAACTATAGTTTGAAAAGTGATTACACAAACATGCATAACGCTATTTACAAAGTAATTAGACTGACACACATAAAATGTTTCAACAAAAGTTGACACTTTTCCCCTTAAATTAATCAAAGAAGCAACATGTTTTAGATAAAGAAAATGAGCCAAAGAGCCAGAAACTAAAATCAAGTTTCATATTAATAATAAAAATAAACATTTGCTCAGTCCTTTAGAGTTGAAAAGTCACTATCATAGACAATATCTGATTTAACGTTTTTACGTAAGGCAGGTACTTTTTGTTAACCCTAATTTTACCGATGAGGAAACTGAAGTTCAACAAGACTAAATTAAAATGGGCCCATTGTGACTTAATTATTAAAGGTTAGTGCCAGGTCTTCAGACCAGATGCGGAGAGCAAACTACGCTTTTTCTGATTCATAATGGAAAGCACCTTTCTACATTTCTTCATGATTTGTGTCGTATAGTTAGTTAGAAAATGGCAGATTCCTGAACTACAGGATTACAGAGTGCTTTTATTCATTGAACAGAATGTGTGATATAACACAAAGACAGGCAGGAGAAGAAAGGTCGCTGGTCAGAGGTCCACAGAGTCAATCTGGGAAGCAGTAAGCACCGTGGTGGTAAGAGTGTGCGATCTGGAGCTCCATCGTTGGGTTTGAATCCAGGTTTGATGTGCTCGGCAATGTGGGCAGATTTCTTAGCCTCTGTGTACCTCAGTTTCCTCATTTGCAAACTTGAGATAATAATACCATCAAACTCATAAACTTGTCACTAGGATTACATAAGTACTTAATCCAGTACCTGGCACATTATGAAGTTGGTTTTAAGTCATTGCTGTGGTTGCTGCTGCTGCGGTTATTATTGCTGCTGTTAGTATTTAACCCAAAATTTGAATCGGGGCCATGCATGGAAAAATGGATCCTGTGCTTAAAGGGTATAAAGTGGCTACTGTTCCTGCCAACTAAGGGCTTTAAGCAAATGCTGCCACTTCAAAGTCCTACCACGAGGCATGACAACTGCCTCCGTTAACTAAAGTGGAGTTATGCCATGTGTGGCAGACTCGGAGAGAAAATAGGAAGAAGTTAAGAAAAAGTGATAGGCACTGTAATACTGAACATTTTTCAGTTGTTTTGGTTGTATTTATAGGATTCCACCGAATTCTCACATCAATCTATCATTTCTATTTTTCAGAAGAGGAAGCTGAAAAAAGGGAGATGCAGCTGGTCCAAGGGTCATACCGCCCAGAGGTAAGGAAGTCAGGATTTAAACTCTGGTGGTGGATTTGGAGCCCAAGCTCTTAACCACTACGTTTCCTGCCTGCTACAGAAAAAAAAAAAAAAAAGAGAGAAAATTAAAACAGGCTGTGGTGGGGAGAACAAGACTACGACTGCCAGCATCCTTGGGGGACAGAGGTTTTCCCCGCAGTGCCACGGCTTTAAGAACCCAAAGGAGTGACTCTGTGGTCTTTTCAAAGCAGCAGCTTACCCAGTTGGACATTATCCCAATGTCCAAAATCCCCACTGATTATGCAAGCAGCTTACACTGCTGGAGGTTATCCAATGTGGATTTCAGATGTCCAAAACCCCCACCGCTTATGGACAAACACACTAACAAATAAAATATTCTTTAGAGACTGTCTGGAGAGCTTACTTTTTAGGATATCACTATGAAATGAAAAGTGGTGTTATAAAGTACCATTTTCATTCTGTAGATATGTAAACTGAGATATGCAGGATCTCCCTTTAAAAAAAACTATTATGAGAAAAAGAATAAATAGCCAGTAATAAATCCAAGACATCTACCATATCTTAGTGTTATTTTATTCTATGCTACACTCTGATTCCATAAGCAAGCCCATGCTGATGCTTTAAATAAAATAATAAAGGGAATTTAAAAGTATATAAATCAAAACTACCTTCTAGCATGGACAGCAACATGACCACCATATCCTTCTGCAGATCCATTAATTCTTTTAAAAGCTCAATCTGACTGGAATCCTGAAAATATTAACATTGCATTTGAGATAATACAAGAAAACTGTGCAGCAAGAACATCATAATTACTCTCACAGAAAGATACTGCTCTGGTAGTATCTTGTAAGCACGTGAAGCATTATGGAACTAAAGGAGGGTCAAATATTAAAAATAGTTATACTTCACAATTAAAAAGTATTACTGATTTCAGCTAATGTTCTTTAAAGTATTTGTAGGCTAGGAACAGTGGCTCACGCCTGTAATCCCAGCACTTCGGGAGGCCGAGGTGCACCGATCACCTGAACTCAGGAGTTTGTGATCAACCTGGGCAACACGGCAAAACCCCGTCTCTACTAAAAATACAGAAAGTTAGCTAAGCATGGTAATGCACACTTGTAATCTCAGCTACTCAGGAGGCTGAGGCATGAGAATTGCTTGAGCCTGGGAGGCGGAGGTTGCAGTGAGCAGAGATCACGCCACTGCACTCCAGCCCAGGTGACAGAGCAAGACTGCATCTCAGAAAAAAGAAAGTATTTGTACGGACAATGAACATATCTAGCAATAATATGAAAGAACCATAACAGTGGTATATTCTCCAATGCCAAGCAAGACTCAAGAGCTTCTGCACATTTGACATCCATCTATCTTTTATTTGAAAAGCCCGCATTTTTTTCTTCTAACTTTCTAACTTCTTCTAGGTACTACTATGTAAAAATCAACTTCACATAGAAAAATATAGGCATATAAGCACCATAGAAGATAAACTTATAAATTTATTTGTTAGATAAACAAATTAACCAAAAACCTACACAGGTATTATCTATTAGTACAACATTGTACTAATATTGTACAATGTATCTTATTTACCAATTTGATTAAGCTTTCCAATATTACTCTGGTTAAAATTTTGTTTTTGCTTTTGATTTTTTACCATAAAGAAACATTCTTTTTCAAAGACATATTGTGTCTAAACATCAGTATGCTTAGCTACAGTCCCTGGAAATACAGATCATACTTACATCTGCATAACTTTACATCTCATCTGTTTTTTAAACTATTTTTTAAAAAATTTGTACAAGGCATTTTATTCAGATTTTGGTATATATGAAGCTAAATTCCTACCGTGTTGGGAGGATGAGACATTTTCTTTCTAAATAGCTGTTACGGAAACTATAAACCATGAACAGGTGCTAGGTAGCACCAGATGTCAATACCCTGATGGAAAAATATCAGGATGAGAACTCTCTTGTGAGGGTCTACATTTGGTTCATGCCGGTCTCCTTTACTTACCAAAATATCCCTAGTGATTAAATGAAAGACTGGAATTTCTTTATTGGGCTCAAGTCACCAATAACTCCATATTGACATTCTCTCCTTCACCAAACTCTAGCCAGGTACCTCTGAGCCCTCTTCTCAACTTGGCCTCAACTTTGGTCTATAAAGACTTGAACAAACACTAATATAGTTTCTAACTGTTCAAGACTGCATCTCTAGGATGAGCCCAGCCTTCCACTAAAGTACCTGCCTGGGAAAACGCGAGGTTGATAAAAAAATCGACTGTTCTAGACAACATCTAAGGATAAGGACTCTGGAGAAGGACAGAATCCTAACTTTGACAATTGCCAGTTAGCAGATATAGCTGGTCTAATCACATTTACACCAATGAACCTGTTGTAACTTTTCACTCCCCTGACTCTACTGAGCCCCTGTTCGCCCCTTCTCTAATCTTCATTTTCCCATTAATATTCCCAGTCACCTCTGCACAAATCAAATCGGGTTCAGTTTATGCTGAACTCTTTTTCCTTGTTGCAATAGCACTACTGATTAAAATCCGTCCTTATTCGTTTAACTAGTATCCAGCTTTGTTTATCTTTGACATTAAGATGGAGCCTTACCACTTTTACGAGCGTCCAGCCTTGTTGATCTTTGACAATACATCCTGCACACTGTCATATGCAGGCCTGAGGGGCGGGTTCTTCACTTTACTGCAGACACACAAGGCCTCAGGGAAGCGACCTGGCCCACATGGGCGGAACAAGTCACGACAGCTCAGGAATTAGAATGGCAGCATTCCGGCCTTTTTTTTTTTTTTTTTTTTTTTGAGACGGAGTCTTGCTCTGTCGCCGAGACTGGAGTGCAGTGGCCGGATCTCGGCTCACTGCAAGCTCCGCCTCCCGGGTTTACGCCATTCTCCTGCCTCAGCCTCCTGAGTAGCTGAGACTACAGGCGTCCGCCACCTCGCCCGGCTAGTTTTTTGTATTTTTTTTACTAGAGACGGGGTTTCACCGCGTTAGCCAGGATGGTCTCGATCTCCTGACCTCGTGATCCGCCCGTCTCGGCCTCCCAAAGTGCTGGGATTACAGGCTTGAGCCACCGCGCCCGGCCAAAAAAATTAAATTAGTAACAGCATTCTGTCTTTTAATCTGACATTCTTTCTTCTACCTGACCACCTGGCAAATGCCCACACTCTGAAGGTCTCGGGTTATGCCGTCAAAATTCACTGCACTGAAGAGGCACATTCACAAGGACTCTTCTATTTGTGTATCTTTTTGTTTCAAATGAAACAAATCCAGCAGGGAGAAAACAAGCTGATATTTTTCAATAGGTTCTCTCAAGTTGACATTAAAACATGGCGGAAAATCTGTTTATTCTTCATTTGCTTATCCGTATAATAGCTACTTTTTCTCTTTGTCACAAAATTAAATACACTGGTTATGGGTAAACATCACCCTACTGAGAACATCTGCTTGTTTAAGACCCTATAACAAAATTATCTCCCTTGTAACAGATTATAAAACCTATTTCAATTATCTGTAAGGGGAAGGAAAATTCCAGTGAGCCATGGCCAGGAAGGTGAAGCTTGGGAAATGTACAATGTTTGGGGACTCAACTGTTTCATTTCTCCATTACATTTAATTTCCTAATATCCTTTGTCTCAAATTTGAAGAATGAATCCTATCTATTTTCAGGTTACATAACGTTTTTTATTTAAAAAAAGTTCATGTAGAACAAAAGAGACATGATAAAATGATCTTAAAAAGACAAGTGATAAAGTGATTTTAAAAAGATAATGTTCCAACATCAAAAAGCACATTTAATTTGCTGATGACTACAGTCTCCAGTTTGTCATTTAGGAGAGAGGAAGGTAGTTTACCTGCGACAGCTTCATCTGCATGTGGGCAAATACATGAAGAAAGCCGACCACAGCATCCCACAGCCTGCTGTGTGCCAAACTCTGTTGATTCCCAGTGCAAGGACCCTGGAGCGTAAACAAACAGCAATTATTCCTCATAATTTATTTGCCAAAACAAACTTCACAATAACGGGAAAATTGCCTTAGTGCTGACGTATCTCACTGCTAGCACATTATCTAAAAAGATAGGAACTCGAAGCGAAAGAAGGAGATACAGTGATGATAATAACCCTTAATAGATAAATACATTCCTCTTTAAAATGTTTAATGATTCCAAAAAAATTTCTCAAGGATTTTTATATTTTGTGAATCTTTTTTTTTTTTGTCTGGCTTTGATCTCTTCTATTTAGAGGAAAAAAATAAGGTCTGGGTGCTTTGGCTCTTCAGTCCAATCAATCAGTAGTCACCATTTTGTATTGAGAAGAATCTGAGAATATGCTTTAGATGAGAGCTGATTACCCTTTTACTCCTAAATAGTAACCTGGATAAAGCATTCACATAGAGAAAAAAATCCTCTTCAACATTTTCTAAATTGGACAACTGTTTTACAAATGGTGCAACCATTGAAGTGTTTTAAAAGAGTAATACTTGTTTATTAATTTCATGAATCCAGAATCCAAGACAATTGGAAGTGGTTAAAATAACTAATTGAGAGATCATTAGGCTGAGATGGCTCCAGTGTCTTGGGTTCCTCCCTAAGAAAACCAAATCCCAACTCAGTGTAAATTTAAGCTTAACCAATCAGAAACTGCCAACTAACTTCTAACTAGAGTTCACCAGTCAGAAACTGCCAACTAACCTCTAACTAGGAACTTTCCACTTTTACCAATCAAATCTCTTTGCTTGTCTTGCTTCCAGGAATGCCTTATAAAAGTGCCCCCACTCTTGGTGAAGGGCTGAACCATTAGTGTTCTGGTGTTGCTCAATTCATAAATAGTTGAATGCTCAGATAAAGTTCGTAAGATGTTATCGTGCCTAAGTTTATCTTTTAACAAGCCTAACTTTGTTCTCTTAGCTGACACGTCTGAAGTATCAATACTTGAGTGGATCTGCTGTAGCAGCCAGACTGTTTTCTTGGAGCCGATTTCTATTTCCACTTTCCAATGAAAAACTTCTGCCATCATTCAGTTTTGTAAACTCATCTGCATCAACCATGAAAATAAATAACAGGGATTTTACTTAGAAAGGAAAAAAGTACATACAATACTGTTCTTAACTTCAAATTCCTTCATTCCTTTAGGCAAAGAACTCATAATAACTTTAAATTGCAGACCACATAAAAACATTTCGGATCTTATGCTAGAAACAAGTGATTGGAAGAGATGGCCATATCCAAGATGCTGCAATAGAACTTTTTCCTGTCTCAGTATCTCTTGAGGCCCTAGAGCTGAGATATTGACTATGTGTTCTCATATGATTATGAGAATGACATGTACCCACATATTACAAAAGCAGTAGACTATCTGCCAAAGGGGTGACTACAAATAGATCTTTCCACTCTAAGGATATAAAGGGGTTGGAGTTGAAAAGGGGGAGACTTTGGAGGGAGTTCTCCATGTGCTGAGCCTCTCCATTTCATTACTTCTGCATCCCCTTACAGCAAGTGAGAGAAAAGGCTTCAGGACAGCCATCATGTGAGCTCAGTTTCTGTCTTCTGATGTTAGGAAGCATAAAGTCTGGTATTAGAAAGCATGACAGACAGCATGTGACAAAAAAGATGTGTGTTTCTTATATGGACTACTCAGGAAGGGGCCGTTCTGCCCCATCTGAAATCAGTCTGAAATGGTGACAGAATTCCAACGTGGATGGGAGCCACCAGATGCATGAGGTCTGACGGAATAACTTTAAACTGGATGGGAGAAGAGTCATTTCCAGGCACTGGAGGACTAAGAGGGCCAGGCTTGCACGTTAGATGAAAAAATACAACACATCACAGCAGAGGGCCAGCTCCATGGTGCACTCTGGGATTACGTGTGCCCAGTGGAGACCTTTCCTTCCTTATACCTCCTCTCTCCCACAGCTCCAACCCAGAGGAAGCCTGCGGTTAACCAGGAGGGGAAAGGGAAAGAGAGAGAAGAACCTTGAGGGGAGAGAGTAAAAAAAGCGCAGATTGGACTCCCTCCAGAATGAACAATATCCAGATGGGAGTTCTTGCCTACACCCTCACTCCACGATTTCCAGCTGAAAATGAGGCCCAAGAATGAGGGGAAGCTTTACTGAAATGAGACTATTTTTGTGACAAAGTGATTGACATGATTTTATTTATTTGAAAGTGGTCAGTGCACAAGATTCCTTCTAGTGGTAAAGAAGCGGTCGACAGAGCAAGTCTGAAGGGACAGTGGTGAGAAGGAATCAGGTTATTTTAATCTGGAGGTCATTAAATCCAGCTCATTTAATGTACCAGATATAGTAGTTTTATAGTTTCCTTCGTCCCTGGTTGTAATTAGTCCAAAATGGCTATTACAGCTCTGGTTTGAAAGCAATAGATCTTTAGGGTTTTCCTGTGGTTGATCTTCAGTGTCAGTCTGGTATTCCAATGGCATATAAATGAGGGAGGATGAAAAGTGCAAGAGGCTATTAGGTGAACACTAGAAAGCCATTTTTAGGAATATAAACTTGTTTTTTCTTCAAGTCAGAAATAATTTTCTTCCTGTGATAGGTAAGGTTTAAATCAAAAGTTGAAGTATTACAAGGGGTTATGCTCTCGTGCAACCCCTCGGTGACCAAAAGTTGTCTGGCCAACCCTCACGTGACAGAGTCGCAAGCCCAGAACCAAAGTACCCATTTCTTCTTCTAAAACCTGAAACACACAGAATGTTCTTTCTAGGGCTTGCTCAACCTTAGGTCATCAGCTTCTGGGAGCTGTAAACTCCCTAGCCTGGTGCCTTGCATTCTTTTTCTCGTGATGTATGTGCCTGCAACATGGAAAACCTTTGCTAACTGCCAGAAGGACCTGTTCCAAGGACAGATCAAGCTTTCCCTCTTCTCAACAACTACCTCATGGTCTTACTCTAGGAACCTCGACAATACAACGTCCTCTTACTCAAACAATTCTTCCCCTTTTATTAAACTGGGATTACAATCTTACAGGTAATTCCATTTATTTCAATGGTGTTGGATCTCCCCCTTATATAACTTGCTGTAGTTAGAAGTTTGAATAATAAAGCAATATGCAACGCTGTAATCTAAAAGGCAGTCCAGAAGAGGCACGAGGCTAACGATAAGCTTATCTTCATGGTGTCAATATTTATCAGCAGATATGCCACTAAGGCAAGCTTCTCTAAACCATATTTCACTAAATGTAATGTGGTTACTTGGATTGTATCCCAGAATTTTAAAAAACAAAGAACATGAATGGAAAAACTGGTAAAATCAAAAGAAAGCCGTAATTTAGTTAACAGGATGTGCCAATGTTAATTTCTTAGTTTTGACAAAAGTGCCATGAGTATATAAAATGTCAGCACTAGGGAAAGCTGGGTGAATCATATACAGAAACCCTCTGTACTATCTTTGCAACTTTTCTGAATACCTAAAATTATTCCAAAATACATATTTCACATATGATTGTTATTTTAAAATGTCATATACAAAAGTAACAAGAGAAGTTACTTGTTACTTCTGTTTTTTTTTTTTTTTTTTGGTTCTTATTGAACCAAGCATGATAAGCCATGTGACTTTATCCAATATCCTTTGAACATTCACGTAGAAATCCGTGCTCTATGACAACACCTAATAAAGAGTTTTGCACATAGTAAGAGCTCAATGGATGCTTCTAGCTTTTGATAAATTCTGGAATCTCAATTATTTTAGGAACCAAGAAATGCCCACTCTTAGCTGAAATGGCGGTTATGTTTCATTTGGAATATATTATAGAAATCATCCTGATTCCCATTTCTGCAAAATCCAGTGGCTTGCTAATGCCATCAGTCAATCCTGTTATTTATTCAGGACGTGACACATGAATGTTGTTGTACTGGTATCATTCTAGGCATGAATGAGAATACTAAAGCAATAATGAAAGCCAGGAGAGGTAAGGAAATGGGACTATGAGTAGACCAAAACTGACTGAAGCTTTCACTTTTATTTGATTTTAAAGGAAATGTTATTAGAATTATCAAGTGTGACTCTTCCATCTGGAAGTGCTGAAATAAGGTTCCTCATCCCCAACAAGGCAAAAAATAATACAGAAAGTGCCATGCTTCCAAGGGACCGAATGCAGAGGAGAGTGAGCCTAGAGGACGTCTTCCTACCTCTACAGCACTTACTCTTGGTTGGCTGTACTTGGCCATGAGTCATTTATTTACTGAAACAGCTGTAACTGTTAGGCTCCTGGGATACAATTTATTTTTAACTTAACCTTTCTTCTCCCCACAAGCTTATGTTTAGTCTCACAAAGCCAATTATAAGTTTCTCCCTCCTGTTTTATCCTTAGCATGGGACACGTCAAACATAGTGAATGATTCAGGGTAATATGGGCCACTGAGACAAGACAGAAAGGAAAGATGACTGGTCATCAGCAAAGTTTTGCTGATTGGAGAAAAAACCCAGAATTTTATCAAATCTTAAAAAAAAATCGGAAGTTAAGGCTAGAAGCTTAGTTCAAGGAGAACATAAAACAAATCGATGTAAAACAGAAAAGAATATTCTATACGGTATTTGGAATTTTATCTGTAATATACATATGCGATGTTTTCAAACACTCTTCTCTTTCTTAAGTTTCTATGAAACTTCTTCCCACTTTTAGTGGAATACTAGAAAGAGTGGCTTAATGTTGTGCCTGCTTTCCCTTCCTTCCTTAATATTTACTAAGTGCTTAATATATATACCAGGCCCTGGAGGTGCAATAGACCTAACATCACAGTCCATACCTCTAAGGAGTTAACCATATCTCAACCTGCCAAATGGTGAAGCAATTTCATTCCATATAAATGCACATCTCAACCTAATATTTTAATTGTAGCAATTTGCAAAGAAACTCGGAAAGGGGTCAATAACAGATATGGAAACTATTCTAGACATACTGTATTTTTCTATGGAATTCAGTGCTACAGATAGCAGCTATGTTTAAATGTTTACCTGAATATACTCTGTAAGAGTGTTAAAGACTTGTTTTGCCACTTGAATAGCTTTGGAGAAATTCCGTTGTCCTTGTTCATCAATAACATCTTTCCCAGAGTAATACCAGTAAAAGTCACTAATTGATTCCTGGGAAATAGAGATGATATTGTTTATTATTCAGTCACATTCTAAAGTTACCATTGACTAACCAGTCTGGGACTCTATGCTTGAGAAGTATTTTAAATAATATATATGGTAGCAAACAAAAACATCTGTGAATTAAATATCATTCTTCAATGATTTTCCTAAACATACAATATGGGAACCTCCTTCTTAGATATAACTAACAACTGAAGAGAAGACCAGAAGAAAACTTAGCTTTGAAAATTACTGTCTGGTAACCCTGAACTTCATAAACATAAGAATTCATTAAGACTGGAGCATATTTATCCATGAGCAAAGTTAGATGTTTACTACGTGAGCACAGAAAATAGATGAATCATGGAATAATCTTTTTTGGGGTACCGACATCTGACCTCCTTTTTCTCCAACAAAGCCAATAACATTTCATCAGTGAGAACTCGCTGATATCCATGGCTTTTGCACCTGTCCCTGAGAAAACTGGCTGGATTGCTTGTAAATACTAATCATTATAAACAATTATCTAAATAAGATCAATCTCTATAAACCAGATGTATTTAACAATAACGTACATTTTAAAGAAATGTTGGTTGGATAAGTAAATAATCCAGTTTAGTTCAGCCTGTGAACTACGTTTGGGTTTTCAGACAATTTTTAAAATTGCAAATGTGTTTTCAGCAACACTTCTTGGTGTACTGACTTCAAAATGGACCTTCCCCCACCACATTAAGCTTTCAGTTAGCAAAAAAAGGTTGTGATATTACACACTCAAAGATTAAGGAAAAAGCTGAAAGTCTGCATTTATAGTTTTTAAAATACTGTGCTTGGTTTGGCTTATAAATAAAATGAGGGGGAAAAAAGTTGTAAAGGGCTCTCATTATTTAAGAGGCCTACATCTTCAATTCAGTTTGAGTAACATTCTCAAATATGATCAAAATATCAGAGATTTTTTAAGCAATGTGGTATGAAAATTAATGCAAATATTAGGACATCTGAAAAGAAGTGACCTTAGACTGTGAAATTTCAGTATATGGTAGTAGTTACAAAGCCTTTCTTTCCTATTCCTATGAATGTTCCAAACATTCTTCCCCAATTTGTCTAACAACTGTAGAAGAAGGAGCAGAGTATAAAAGTGCTTTATAAAATGAAAATGACTTTAAAATACCATCAAGCTAAAGAAACAGAGGGGAAGAATCTCTACTTACAGAAATAAAATATGAGCAAAAGTAGGAGGCAGGATCAGGAGTGGAGATAACAGTGGCAGTTTTGCTCTAAGAATTGCTGAGATATTGTGATCAGAGATAAACTATCTCAAAAACTCCTTTCTAGTTATAAACCAAAATACATTAAAACTCTGCCGTATTGTTTCAACATATCAACCCTTTCAATTTGTTACTAATATAGAAAGCAACATACCTGAACTCTCAGTAGGTAGTCTACAGTGGAGATGATTATGTTGACAGTTGTATTATTGCCAGTCTGAGTTCTCAGATAATTCTGAAAATCTATGCAAGATAAAAAAAAATGTTATTAATGCTTGCTCAGAAGTTCAAATTGAGTTATTCTAAGAACTCCAAAGGCAAATGTTTTCTGCGGCAAAATCATTGTGGGTTAGTGCAGTGTTTTTATCTAATAGTGTTAATATGAAAATAATTTATATTTTCCATAAAAAGTGATCACCCCAAAAGAGTATCTGCGTGCTCCATAGATGATCAATATTCAATTTTTGTCTCAGATGTTTCTAATATCAGTTTCCTTACTCCTAGTTTTAGAGCTCTGGGCAAATGAATGACTGAAAAAGGTTGCTATCCTTGAGGATATAAGAAGGAAATTTTTTATTCATTAATCACTTACTCCTCAGTACTGTGCAAAGTGCTGGGGTCAGCCAAGATAAAATTAAGACAGAGTTCCTGCCTTCAGGGGTGCACAAGCCTGTTAGAGAGTTAGATGTGTAAACAACTAATGGAGATACATTATGTTAAGTAGTACAATGAAGTATGTGTACACTCAAGGTAAAGAGAGGTGGTACAAAAGAAATAATGCTCTATATACTCTATAACTATTTATATTTTTCATAAATCATCTTTTTTTTTTTATTGAGAGGATCTTGCTGTGTTGCCTAAGCTGCAGTGCAGTGGGGCAATCACAGCTCACTGTAGCCTCAAACTCCTGGCCTTGAGCAATCCTCCTGCCCCAGCCTCCCACGCAGATGGGACTATGAGCACGCACTACCATGTCTGGATGATTTTTTAAATTTTTTGTAGAGATGGGGGTCTCGCTATGTTTCCTAGGCTGATATTGGACTCCTAAGTTCAAGCAATCCTCCCACCTCGGCCTCCCAAAGTGTTGGGATTACAAGTGAGGAACCGCGCCCAGCCTCATGTGTCTTCCCTAACATCAAAATAATTGATAAGACTCAAATGAAATAGCTATCCAAGGACTGTGAAAGCAGGGAAGCAATGTATAAAATGTCCCAGTGCCCAATGCAGAGACATGTTCTAGAACAATTTATTGTCTCTAGAATGATGCAGAATTGGAACTAACAGGTTCCTGTTATTACTGGCTTGAAAACATTATTTATACCTTAGTAGCATCAGAAGTTTTGGGGACTCACAAACCTGAGTTGTGTCCCTCACAGAGTAGCTGCAGGAATCGGAAGAGGTCACAGGTGAACTCATCGTCCTGTAGAACCTTTTCTCCTGCGGGAAGTCCAGAGGGATCAAACATTACCAACCACCCCAGGCTGCCCCTCCCTTTCTGTCCCCACCTCCATACAACTTGCATGTTGATCTAGCATGGTTCTGAACCAAAAAGAGTCACAGGTCATAGCCACTTTGCTATCTGAAGCTCATAAGATCATGCGCTTGGCAGATAGACGCTCTTTTTCTTTGTAAGAAAAGAAGGTTTGAATTTTAAAACTCAGACTTCTCTGTTAAAAGTAGCAGCATGGGATTGGCAACATTTTACAAACGACCTAAAGGCTTAAACTTTGCTTCTTTCTTCCTTTATGTTCTTGTATTTGGCAAGGTGTGCATAGAAGGGACCTTTCTCTGCGTCTCAAGGGACCTTTCTCTGCGTCTCTCACGCAGGTTAAATTTGCTTTGTACCTGGATTGTGGCCAAATGATTCAATGGAAAGTATTCTGTGTATCCAAAAAAGCAGGGCCAAGAGTTTCTTTCACTAAAAAAATAATTCATGGATTTTTGTGAAAGCTGTAAATCGCTAGAAAATTGTTGATTAACTTGTTTTAATTAACTTTGTTATCAGGCTGTCTACTGAATTAAAAAAAAAAAAGGAAAGATTTCTGAAATCTAAAATAGAGATGTGACTGGTTTGAGCATTATTTCCATAGGAGGAGGAAATGGCAAACAACCTTAATTCTAAATATGAAACCAAAAGAAAGACTTTGGTGGCTCGTGTTGTGAGAGCTAAAACTAACAAAGAAAAGGTGAAAAAAAAGGCATCCCCTAGTTACAGAGGTTTCTCTGCATCATCCAACACTAACAAGTATTTTGGGGGCAAGGAGAAAAACCTCATTAAAGGGCTCAGTTTACTTATATTTCAATTTAAATGTCTCGTGATCACAAGTTACTTTGAAAGCAAAAACGCAAGGAAAGAAACAAACTCAGAACAGCACCACACAAATGAAGCTGATTTTCAAAACAGAAAGTGTCCGTGGGGAAGTAAAACAAACAAACAAACAAACAAAAAAGTTCCACATTACGAGCACCTGCTCCAAAATCTAAATTTGTTTAAAAGCAAAAATGACAAGATAGCCAGTGAATGAATGGACTAAAGTACTTTAAAAAAATGAGAACTTTTTACAGAATGGAAATACTTTGGGCTGAGAAAGAAAACGATGCAATGATCGTATGTTTACTTTAAGTGAAATCATGAATGATCACAGCGACAGAGAGCTGATGGACTTACCAGTCCGCAGTCTGTGACTTTCAAAGTGAGAGGCTTCATATAATGGTAGGGTTAGGAAGCAAAACCATTTTGAAAACTAATATAAACATTAAAAAAAGTACATAAAATCACTGTACTCATTTCCCTGTTAGCCCACAAGATATGAAATTTGGTGACTACGCTACAATCACCAAGTATGCAAATCAGACGCTGTGGCAAGTTTAAGTGTTACAGGCACATTGTTGTGTTGAATCTCCCATAATTGGCTGATAAGTCCATTCCTCAGTGTTTAAATTCACGACAGGATAGGAAACAAAAGGGAGAATGTTTTAGGCAAATAAAGGAACTAAACTCTTCATTGGTGATACTTAGTACCATTTTCATGAGTCACTTTAATCAGAAGAGTCTTTAAAGTGATATTTAAATCAAAATATTATGAGTTTGTTACATAGGCTTATTGATTCTTTCCCTGTGAGCCCATCTGCAATGTTTTAGTTTTCAAAAAACAATTCAATAAACCACTTACACACTTTAAGTGTTCATATATTCAATGTGAAAGAAGTAACCCTTACCAGAAAGTATTCAGAAAAACACTGAAATAAATATAATCTACCTGTGTACCTAAAAATGCTCTGCACAATAACGATTTATAACATAAGGTTTTATTTATTGTTGACACACACAGTATTTTCTTGACTGTATACCGAAACATGTACAAGTAACTTCACTTATATAAGGACACACCGCACATCGTAGAACAATGGGAAGAGGGGAGGGGTGAGGGAGGGGACGAGTCAGGCCTTCATTTACCAGCAGGTGATACCAGGTATAAGCTGGGGTGCTGTTGCTTCATGAAGACATTCCTATCTGATTAAAATGCTGCCATTGCCCATGCTGCAAATAAGTGGTAGAATAACAGAGATGGATGATGGCTTTATGTCTGCAGAAGGTACAGGATCAGCAGTCTATTTTGTGATGTGTGCAAAAGAAATTCCATTGTAAGATGGAAACTAAGATCAATAACAAATAACGGAATGAAGTAACATGTAGTTGAAAGTGCTCTTACGTTGGTCAATCACGATTTGTAATTGCTGCCCGAGGGCTCAAGGTACATATTGTGAAGGACATTCCTTTGGTTTCATTTTTATAAGAGGCTTAAGATTTTTAATACTGTAATAAAGGGAGAGGTATTCCAATATTGCTGCTGCTGCGGAGTTCATTCTTTGCACCTTCGTTTTCTCTTGTCTAAAATAAAGATAACATGTACCCTGTCTATGTCCCTGGCTCTTCACAATCTGTGGTAATTTTTTGTAAATTGTGGAAAGGTTAATATATTAGGTGCAGTGGCAATAACACTAAAAAATATGGAAATATCATACCAAGCTGCTAAACATAGCGATTTGAATTTATTAACTGTGTATATATCTCCTGAACACCATCTTCATGGATTAAAATGTTCTCAAAATTACAGTGTTTTCCTGGAAAAATCTAGGTAGATTGTGTTTAATCAAGCTAAGAGTGAAACAGTAAGTCCTTTTTTAAAGATCTAATAAAGTAATACATTTTTAAAGGCCACTGTTCTACCTATCATTGGCGAATTAAGATAAATAGACTCCAAAAGACTAACACTCTCATTATCAGGTCCTGTCATGTCAATATCTACAATAATGCACAGGTAAAAGGTGAGTCATGAAGCACAGGACTGGCCACATTAAAGGATCCCCTATACTCTATAAAGCTGACTCAAAAGCACCCCACTGCCATAGAGGAAATTATGCTGATTGTTGATCTGGAGAGGACTTAAAGATCGATTCTGCATCTTGCCAAAACTGAAGAATGCTAAAAATATTTTAAAATAGTGAAAAGTCAGGTATTTTATTCCATATGGGAAGTTTTAATATTGCCGCTTAAGTGGCTTAAGTATGACTGCTTCAATTATATTACAATTCTATTAAAAAGTAAATTAAAAAAATAAGTCTACTGTTAATATTTAGTTAGTGACTATGATGTGCTAGATATGTTATCTCACTTCAATTCAGGTTTATTAGAATCCTGTAAATTAGCTAAATGTAATGCCATTTTGTTGTTCAGTGAACAACCAAGAAATTAAATAACCAACGTCATATAGCTATCGGCTGGTAAAGAGTATGATTCCAGTAAACTTCAATGAACTTTCACTAAGTGTCTCTTCTATGGCAGGCACCTTGTGAGGTGAACATAATCTCAAACCTGAAGAAGTTCACAGTCTAATGGAAGATACAGGAAATAAACAGATAATTTCAGTATTATATGACCTTTCTGAATTCAGTGTGCTATAGTTTCTAAATGTTGTAAAGTTAGCATCAGTGACGAAAAAAATCTTTGACTAATTATCATCACACATACTATGTGTTATTTAAATTGTGAACTCGTACTTGTTTTCATCAATTTCAGAATCAAAGGAAAACCATTTCTAGACATGTGACTTTAGTCAGTTCACTCTTCTGAGCCTTCGTTTCATCATGTCGATATGGAGATTAACAAACTCCTCAACTCCTCATTTCATAGGACTGTTGGGAGAATTGAATTGGCTCAAACAATTAAAAGTGCTTTGAAGTCTACAAAGCACAAAAGAAATAAATGTGAAGCCTTAGGTCAAATGACCTAAATTTCCAAGTTACAGAATTTCTGTAGGTTGTATGACCAGCAGTTCTATTAATTCCACTGAGTGCATTTATTAAGATTTAGTTAACAATCTGACAGCAGTGTATATAATGCATTCCTCTTTCCGATGCCAAGACAACAAAAATGACCACTATGTGAAATAAATTAGGTTTGTCCCAAGGATAACAGAATTAAAGTATATTCTGTTAAACAAATTAAACTAGCTGGAGAGGAAAAAAAAATCCCTTTGCTTTCAAATGTGATATGCATGTTGTTTCTCTTACAGCCGAAGCCTACGTTTCTTGGCTGTCAAGACTCTTACTGAAATTCTTACTGTTTTTCATCCATTCCATTCATCAACATCCTTACTGATTTCCCTGCCTTGAGACTCTGATACCTATCTTACACAATGTTACCTGTCAGTAATTTTTCAAAAGCACGAATCCAATTATCATACTTCCCTGGTAAACAGATGGATTTCTTTAACTGTATGAAAAGTCTACTCTGAAGAATTCCCTCTAATCTATCATTAGGCATAACTCAGAGCTCTCCCACTGCCATGAAGGAAATAATGCTGGTCACTATCTTTGGAAGAGTCAATTTCTATTTAGTAGCACGACTGAGAAATGGGAAATCTACACTGTACTGCTTGTTAGTGGAGTCTATCAGAAGCATTAGCTGAACAATAAACGTTAGGAACTCAATTCTAGGTGGATCATTTAACAACACACACAGTGTCACTTAAGTGGTATTTAAGGGTTCTCTATGGCCTCAGAAAAAGTGCAGATTCCTTGGCAGGGCAGAGAAGGTCCTTTGTTGCCTCCCACGTACTATCTTTCCATCCTCTAGTCTGAACATTCCTTCACAACAGCTTAGTCACTATTCTCTGCCATGTTTGGTCCCTTGACCTTTGCATATGCGGTTCCCTCACATTGGAATGTCTTTGCCTTCCTTATCCACCAGCTTGATTCCTAACTCAGACCACACGTCACTTCTGTGATGCTTCTCCCACCACATCCCAGCAGCTAGGTACTTCCACCTCAATTCCTTTATATGCATAAAGCATTGTCCTGAAGTTACTTGTTTACAAGTCTGTCTGCACAGTACTGAGCTCCTAAATCATTTCCAATGCTTAGGACACCATCTAGCACATAATAGTCACTCTAATTTAAATGAGCGCTTCCAAGTGTAAAAACTGTGCAAGGATGTTAAGAAAACATTTGGTGCCATGAACCAACATCACAAGTTTTCCTTGAAGAGAAAATTTACCCACAAGAATGGCAGAATAAGGTACACAGAATACTAAGCTACACTTGTGAAAGTATTTGGAAACCCTTGAGGAAAAGGTAGCCCATAAATTACTAAGCAATAAAAACAGTAATAAAAAGTTAGAGTAACCAATACTTAAAGATCAGTTCAATCCTTTTGCTTAATTAATTTGTGTTGCTTCAACTTTACATAAATTTGATTAGATGATTATAAATGTATCAGTAAGCACCTCAGTGAAACAAATTATCAGATACAGATAGAAAGGTGGGGAAGGTTAATTGGTAGTTCATGTTGTAGTGAGGATTTTAAAAAATCAAACTATTTTTAAGAAATCAGATCAACTTCAAAACTTCATCTTGCTTTTATGAAGTCCAGGACTACCTGATGATGATCAAAAACAAAATTCAATATCCTCTGTTATATTCCAAGAAGAATTTTGAAAGCAGGAAAATTGCACTTTCAATGTCATAATGATTTGGTAATGGGGTTAATGGTTCTGATAAAAAAACAAATTAAAAAATCCAAGAATGGAATGACATTTTAAATATTCATACAGGTTTTGTTTTTGAACTTGATTAAATCATTAAAAGAAAACACATATAAATATAAACTATACAGCACAGACAACACTGAGCATATTACAAATTAACACATTTCCTGAAGAACCTTTTCAAAAAAAAAACTTGGGAGGCTCCAGCTTTTGTAGAAATGAGAGAAACTTAGTCTAAAAAGGGGACACAAGTCAAACTTGCATGACAGTAATAGCAGTAGGAAAAAACAGTATAAATAATTCAACTGAAATCTTTATATACAAACCTCAAAGAAAACATGGTTCCTCATGGTATCTCAATACCAGGTCAGGAACATTTGTAACCATAAAAAGTTCAAAAGCAATTTTGAAACTTAACAATAAATGCAAAATGTGGCAAGAGATTTGTGTCCCAGAAAGGGACAAAGAACAATAAGTCAAGGGGCAGCCAGGTGTGGTGGCTCACGCTTGTAATCCCAGCAGTTTCGGAGGCTGAGGTGGGTGGATCACCTGAGGTCAGGAGTTCAAAACCAGCCTGGCCAAGATGGTGAAACCCCATCTCTACTAAAAATACAAAAATTAGCTGATTGTGGTGGCATGTCTGTAATCCCAGCTACTTGGGAGGCTGAGGCAGGAGAATCGCTTGAACCTGGGAGGCGGAGGTTGCAGTGAGCTGAGACCGCACCACTGCACTGCAGCCTGGGCAACAGAGCAAACCTCCATCTCAAAAATAATTAAACAAAGAAACAATAAGTCAAGGGGGGGGGGGAAAAAGGCAGTGGTAGACATGAGGTAAGCCCCCAAAGAATAGGAAAAGATGGGAGGGAAGTGACTTGGCTCATGGGATCTGTAAATGAAACAGTGGGAGGCAGAATGCCTGCATTTCAGTCTCAGCCTTGCTGCTTAGCTGTGTGACCTCGGACAAGTCAAGAAACCTCTCTGTTCCTCTGTTTCCTTATCTATAAAATCAGGGTAATAGCTACCTCATTGGAGAGTTGCGGGTATCATACATTTAAGCTTATACATTTTCTATGGCTATATAATTTCTGGTCGTATTATCGTCATTAGGAAGAGACTTAGCTTAATAAAAACAGTGGGCAAGGAGGTAGGAGATTCAGATACAGTAGATTATTTTCTCAGTGCTAAGCCCATGCTCTCTGAGCCTCAAGTGTTGAAGTAAGTGACATCACTAACAGCTGCTGCTTTTCCAGCCTTTTCTATCCCTTCCAAGAGGGATGATTGATTTTTCTTCTCCTATGAGTGTGTATAGGCTTTTTTTTTTTTTTTTTAACTTTTATAGCATCTTAAACAAGAGTGGTCTCAAAACAGATATATTTAAACATGCCAAAAGAGTCTGTATAGGAATTCTTAAAACAATCTGGAAAATACTATAATATTAATAGAGCTAATGAGTGGCCCTTACATATGCTCCTAATAGGTCTCTTGATTAAGGCAACAGCATGTATTCAGAAAGCACAATTTAATCTTGGAAGCCTTGTTGGCGTCCTAGGTACTATCTAAAATCTGATCCCTTATTTCCATTGCATAAAATGTCTTTCAGAAACTACTTTGAATTACTAATGACATCTTTGTTAGTCTATTAGTTTGAGGAGCAAATAGTTGCTGTTGTTTCTACTGCTCTTTGAATTCAGTCGCAAAAATAAAAATTCGTTTTGATGTTACATGATTTGCAATCTGTAAGATTTTCAAAGGAATAGAGAAAAACTCAGTAGACCTCCCAATCTTTGGAAGGCAACTGGCAGAGCACACTGGTGAGGAGGAGACTCAGCTTGTCACGTCCCCCTTGAATATGTCACCGATTTCCCGTGCACCAATCCGTGCAGCCATAAAGCCACAGTACGTTCAAGACAGAAACGCCACAGGGAGACTAGGGCACACATTCTAGGATCATTCATTGACACAACAGTTGCAGATGCTGGGCCCACTGGAAAGGTTTTTAACTGTAAGACAACAAAACCAATCCAGAAACGTAATTGAAATGCTTGTTGCCCCTTCATCTCTGACATCGTAATAACTGCACATCCTCATAGAAACAACATCGTAATAACTGCACATCCTCATAGAAACAAGAAAGAAAAAGAGGAAAGCTAGATGTGTGCATTTAAAAAATAACAGGATGCATCATGATGGAAATTAAATAATCTACTTATGAAAACAGTCTACAACACAAAAGAATGCACAAGAATTGTCACTATCAAGTCTGTACACAAAGCTAACAAATAAAAGAGCAAATAAACAAAAGACAGTTCATTTTTAATAATTACCACGCTCATGAGTGATGACTGAGGAAGGGAGGGTAGTACATTTACAGTAGTCGAAAGAAAAGGAAATGGGGAAAAAGAAAAAAAAGTTGAGATTTTGCTTTTGTTTTTCTGTTTGTAAGGAAATAATACAAAATGTGTTAATCGGCTTGAGTAATTATTTTCTTATGTGTTGAAAAAGAATGCACAAGTTAAATCAATCTCATTTTGAGAGATATAAAGAATTCTCCCATCAGAATGGTCACTCTCACAAAGTTCTTTCTGATTTGGGACTCGAAAATGTTATTCCAATCCATATCTGCCTGACAAAGGAAAGGAGGCTAAGGAAAATAAACCTAAGTGGCTGCTATTCCTTTTGGGAGCTGATATGAACAGTGACTAAGAATGACTGATGGATTTGTGGTCAGAGCCCCTGGAACATTAGGTAATAACTACAGGGGAAAATGAAATTGATTTCTAATTCCAAGACAGGGAAGTCAGGCTTTAGACAGAGACTTCATTCATTTTTAGAGATTTTGTAGCTGAAAATTGCTTAGGACTTTGGAGAGATGCTGGAGGTAGGCAGGTGATGGGCCCTGGGATCTGCAGTGGCTCCAAGTTCTCCGGACGGGCCCAGAAAACCTAAGTAAGTTTAGAGTGGCTCTGGTGATTTTTCTTGAAGGTCAGTCCTTTTGAACCTCAGGCCAGAACCTTAGGCCAGAAAACCTAAGAAGTTATAGAATGGTGTCAGTGATTTTTCTTGAAGGTAGCTAACTCAGTTAAGTAACCATATGACTTATATTTGATGACCAGACTTGTACATCCAAATGTCAAGCAGAAAATAAAATAAACACAGGACCCACATAGCAGTAGCAATGTCAGGATGGGTATTAATAATAAACTTTAAAATACAATAAGAAATATTCTCTTTCCTATTTGTGAGAACAAAAAAATACGTAGATAAATTAGTTAATCCTAAAATATTTCAGAGAAATAAACACAGACTACAAATGGCAGATGGGAGAAAAAATTATTTTTTGAAATAAGATTAGTCCAATAAAAGACCCAATATTCCAAAACTAATAATTGACAGGAAGACATATCCAAACCACACAAAACAAACAAAAACAGATAAACACACGGGCCCTGAGTAAAACTAGTTTAAAAATCAAACACAAAAGAATAAAAACAAATCAAACCAAAAGATATTGAAGATTTTTTTCTTAATAAATACTCCTAAAATGAAAGGGCAGCAAAAGTTATTTCTGCTTTAAATGCATTGCATGCTAAACTTTCTAGTTTATACCAGCATCTATTTACAGAGAGAAAAATTCTAAGATCACGTGAATCACTGCTTTTGTGCACAGAATTATTTAAGCACAATAACTGCTCTTTAATTTCTTTTATCAATCTAGACTTGCAAACATGTATGGATATGAGGATCACTGTGCTGGAAGGGAAGAGGAGAGAACAGGAATGAGAGTAGACTGAAGGAGCTCAAAGGATGACTATCCTAAGGAAATAGAAGAATCTGAGAGCCCGACTTTGCTAAAGTGGCCAAAGAAAGTCAAATGTTCTTGAAAGATTCATCTATGTGGTTTATGATTTCCCAGAAAATTCTCTAATAAAGGATCTTGATCCTTCATTCAGCCATTATTCCTTATTGAAAACCCAACAAGGGGAAAGGCCGCTGGCAACGGGGCTGGCACACAAGGAGTTAATGACCGGCGTGGAAGGTTGGTGTTGGGGTGTGACGGGTGTCCAACTACGAACTTTGAAATAAATCATGTAAGCATTTCATCGATTTTAAAATAACTTCGTATCTCTCTGCTTGAAAGGTAATTGATAATTGACTCATTTCAGGGAGGGAAGGGAGACAGGTGATCCTTTTAATGTAAGTCATTAATACCTGATCCTTCCTCTGTCACCATCCCAAGACCTTCAGCTTTGTTTTGTCGCTCAAATGCATTTAGGTCAAGGACACTATAATAACAAGGAAAAAAGAAACATTTAGAGGACTAATAGAACATTTTCTTTGTTCAGGAGAGCAAACATCTAAACACCACATATCTTGGAATATGAACCAAATGTTAACGTACACTGAAAACATGTCTCCATTCATTGCTTACCAGCCACATTCTCTTAGTGGCAGACTAGTGTCTCCCCTGGGCCTACACTGAAATGATCCATGTGAAAGTCAAACATAAAGCATTCATAGGGTTCCACATGGGGAGTACATTACAAAGCTAGCAGACATGCAGAAATAAAATTCTAATAATTATGTTCTTGCAGTTGGAATAGCTTGTTACATTAAATGTGTGTCAAATTCCTTAGTCAAATGCTGTCTGAATGACTTTAAATCTTGAAAAAAAATGGAAAATGATTACCACAAATGAGTTAATGATCATTTAGTCATAAAATGAGAAATGGTCTACAAGCTCCTAAATAAAACTAAATAGAATTTCCTTTTCTAAAAAAGCATACACAACTCATTTTCAAGTATACAGAATATACACTAATTCTCCAAGATCCCTATTTAAACATGGGGAAGTCTTTTTTTTTTTTTTTTTTTAAATTAGAGACAGGGTCTCACTCTGTCTCTCAGGCTGGAGTAGTGGTGCTGTCATAGCCCACTGCACCCTCAAACTTCTGGGCTCAAGAAATCTTCCCACCTCAGCCTCCTGAGTAGCTAGGACTATGGTACAGGTGTGTGCCACCATGCCTGGCTAAGTTTTTTTTTTTTTTTTTTTTTTTTTTAGTCTTTTTGTAGAGATGGAGTCTTGCCCTGTTAGGCTGGTCTTGAATTGCTGGCCTCAAGGGATCCTCTACCTCTTCCTCCCAAAGTTCTGGGATTATAGTACCATAGGAAAGCTATTTTAAGGCATTATTACCATTCTGTAAGTTATTAATTATGATATTACCAACCCCCTAAAAAAAGATAGAAAAGAAGACACTGCTGATTATCCCACTTTAAAGTGTTGTTAATCATTAACTATTCTTCTATGTGTAATTGTCGTCAGAGTAAGAAACAAATGCTTCGAAAAAATACAACCACTGAGTAGAACCCCAAGAAGGAAGTGAGTCCTTACCTACATGACTGCATCAGGCCGGCCAGGCTCTGAAAGAAGCCCACATCCTTTTTCTCCTTGAGGTAGTCAAGCATTTTCTATGGGAATTATAGAAACCACATGGCCACTGAACAAAAATCTCATTGTTTGTTAAATAAATAAACAACCAAAACAGGCTTTCCATTCTAAAGACAGAAAATATTCACTGTGTACACACATGACTAATGTCATCTTTATCATGAAGTAGGAACACACGCCTCAAAGCAAGATAATTACACAAACTTGGAATAAGAGGGTTAGTTGCCCTACACATGAGCACAAGCACCAAAAATGTCGGGGGTAATATTACTCTTAATTCTCTTCTGGTCACTTTTAAAGTAATTTGGCGATTCAGATACTCTCTCGCAAGTTAACTGGGAAGAAAATTCCCATAGATGTTATTCACAGGTTTCCACACCAAGGTGATTTCATTACAGGCCAGGCGCGGTGGCTCACACCTGTAATCCCAGCACTTTGGGAGGTCAAGGTGGGCAAATCATGAGGTCAGGAGTTTGAGACCAGCCTGGCCAACATAGTGAAACCCCGTCTCTACTAAAAAATACAAAAATCAGCTAGGTGTGGTGGCATGTGCCTGTAGTCCCAGCTACTCGGGAGGCTGAGGCAGGAGAATTGCTTGAACCCAGGAGGCAGAGGCTGCAGTGAGCAGAGATGGCGCCACTGCACTCCAGCCTGGGTGACAGCTCAAAAAACCAAACCAAACCAAACAAAACAAAAAACCCAAAACAGCATTACAATCTGAGAGTGGTGACTGCCATATGCTAATGCTATAGACTGAAATTCAGTTTCCATTTCCATAGTCTTTAAACTGAAAAAACAATTTGAATCATTTGGCTATTAAAATTTTCTCCTTTGTTCTCAGAATGACATCCAGGATCTATGGTCAAAATTTTGGTTAAACATAAATATAAAAAAATGCTAAAGCAATGCTTTGTGTTGTTAGCTTACTGTTACATAGCACAATGAAATAGCTATTTCTGACATGGTTAAAATGTATTAGAGATTTCAAATGTAAAGCATATACAAGATGAGAGAAAGCATACTCAAAGGTTTAAGGAAATAAGAATACTGCTTTTCTCCAAATCTTGAAGAGCAGAACAATTCCTATTATCAACACTGTTCTAAAAAGGGCTCAGCTAAGCAGACAAAATTTTAGTAGTAATATTTTTCAGATAGCAAAGGCAATATAAACTAAATATGTAAAGGATACACACGCACAAAGTATATGCACATATGCATATATATATACACACACACACACACGCACAAATAGCAAATATACACAGTGTATGTATGATACATAGATGTACAGACACACATATACACACAGACACAAAATCATACAGCCATTTATGGGGGGTGTGATAACTTTTGGTCAAATAAAAAATGAAACAATCGTTCATCTTTTCAAACAAAGGAATGTGGCTTACAGTAAAGGAGATGGTGGAATACATACTCGAAGTTACAAAGAAAACAGACAAGTTCCGCATAGACAAGAAGTATACATTACAGGATCTCTCACTACTGTCTCTGGATCTAAGGACTTCTGAATATATATACTAAGTAATGAGGGTCTTCTTAAGTAAAACATAAGCAAGAGACATTATTTTTTGATATATGTTTTGGAGAGATTGTTTTATTGTTCCTTTTTAAAAAGCTATATAATCACTTATTCTGGGAACAGAATGAGCTGGTTACCCTTGCCAGGTTCCAAAACCAGATAGCCACCGTTTGGTAAATGCATGGTGAGAGAGTGGTTCATATCTCAGCACCAGAATTCACTTGACATGACAAAAGGCCACATTTGATGTTTTCAGATGTTTTGACATCATTTGATGTTTGGATTTGTAACACTATCACATAATTACTTTTTCCCTCTTTTGCTTTCTCTTCAGTACCGTGATAAACTAAAATTGAACCATATTGTACATAGAAAATAAAACATTTTACAACAAATAGTTCTTTACTATACGGTCCATTTGTCTGAAAAGTACATTATGTGAATGACTGGAAGCTATTACCTGCTGTACTGTGGAGTTCCCACCATTTAAAATAGCAATTCCAAGTTTCAAAGTAGCTGCTACCATTGGTCCAGTTTCACCTAAGAAATATAAAAAAGTAGTGTTTCTTGTATCATTTCGCCTTCTATATTAACCTATTCTACCTCCAATGCTGCACTTTAAAAATTATTATTATGCTCCCCCGCAAGCAATCTTCATAATGGCGGAGGGAGACTGACTGATGTTCCAAAAAATAATAAAATAATAATAATGCATATTTGGCATCAACATTTTAAAAAATTCTCTACAATATCTAAGAACTGAAACCTTAAGAAGATACAGAAGTAACAGAATAGGAAGACAACTGATCTTGAAATATTGAGACCTGAAATTATTAAGATTCAAGATTACTCATGTGTTTAATAAACATTAAAATAAGTATGAGCTACTTAAAACTTTCTTTAAGGAAAATTTCTCTCCCTCTTCCCTCAACAATATTATATATGAAGAACTTTCATCATTTTTATTGTATCGCTTTTACTTTAATATGTTTGTAGTCTGGTTTATTAAGCAGACTATTCTCAATTTTAAGTTATTCAGATAATAACACAACATTTTATTCAGTATATCATATTTTATTTTTCATTGTTCACCTCTATTTATCTTAGAAATATAAATAATCTTCTATTTAAGGACAAGGGTACCTAATAACAGAATATACCACCATTACTTTTCCTTTCCATTACAAATTATATTTAAAATATTTTCACAAAGAAGCTATTATGAACGTACAAAAAAATCATCTTGAAACAGCTGGCTACTGAGATATACGACAGCATCTTCATTGTTAAAAAAGTCTCAATTTAAATGTCTCCATATTTGTATCAAGGGTCAGCAAACTATGGCAAAATACCATAAATTACATAACAAAATTACAGCTTGCCACCCGTGTGTGTAAACAAACTGTGTGTAAATGAAGTTGGTTTGGAACACAGCCACCCTGTTTGTTAACTTATTGTGTCTGGCGGCTTTCGTGCTAACACAGCACAGTTGAAGAGCTGTGACAGGTTGCATAGTCCTCGAAGCTGAAATCATTGACTCTCTGGCCTTAAAGAAAAAGCTCGGCCACCCCCATTTTATCGGATCAGTCTGCTAAGGTTTAGTTATAACATATTTTCCAAAACTTAAAGAACAGAATGAAAATGAAGCTGTATAGTAAGACTCTGAAAAGCAAATTAACACTGGTCTCCGTAAACAATGAGAGCTCGTGTTTGTGAACAGGCACCTGATACAGTCATGAACCAGAAACCCCGGGACTAAATGAGTCAGTGGAATTGAAATGAGGGAGCACCTTGAGAGCAATGAGGAAATCTGAAGAACAGACACTTGTGAGGGGAACCCAAGGAACCTTACCTTTGCTGGCACTGATGGTCTGCAGCACCATCTCAGCCGCACCACGGTCGTGGAGTCGCGCTTGCTGGTATAGAAGCTTTTGCTTTTCCATTTCTTTTTCCTGAACACAAATCCCAACCGTTTATGTTGAGGGTATCAGTAAGCACAGCAGATTTCTACAGACCATATTTTTAGTCATCTCTTCATGTATGGGCTCTATGACAACATTATGGACCATTTCAACACCAACGATGTTCTTAAACAGATATTATTAACATATTCAACTCTTGGTTTTTTTTTTTCCCCCTTTATAGTTTTCTTGATATGCTTTTGGTACTGGTTTATCAGCATGGATTTGTTTTTCTCAATTTTAATTATTTGATTCATCCAAAGCCTGTATCACAGTTTTGAAGTACTGTACTTCGTCAATGAAGCTTGCACTTTCTGATTTATACATTTGTGCATAAGTTTGTCACGTTTTTAATAATCTCCCATGCCATGGCCATAACTTGATACTGCTCAGCAAATGGCTCGAGTTGCAAGGTATCACTGAATCACAGAAAAACATTAACTGAGATGTCTTGAAGTTTAAGCAAAATTGAAAGCTGATATGAATAAAAAGGTAGGCTTCAACAAAGTAGTGGATTTATGATACAGATCTCCCCAGTCACCCCCAAAGAATAAGAGATGCAATGTGCCTTTATATTTTGTATTCTCTGGTGGTAACAAACGATACTGCATGGTGCTGCTGGAGCAATGGCTGGAGTTTATTCTTTTCCACTTAAGCTACCACTGAAAACATAAAGAAGAAAATAAAAATAAAATATAAAGGCACAGCAAGTTCAAGACTGGTATGACCATTCACTTGAGCAATCCAGTTCACTGGAGAATTGAGAAGGAACTAAGCAGTATAAGTTGCAGAATGAAAGTTGCATAGAGCCCTATGACAGTGAGTCCATCAAATGGCGTGGTAGAGAAGCTTAGTCAATGGGACATGAAACAGTCAATTAGTATCATGTCCATAAACACAACGGCCAAAACATATATGACCTAACAGCAGGAAGAGCTGCAGCAGAGGTAGCCAGAATGACAGCTTTGCTGCCATAAACTTTCCATCCAAAATACAGAAAATAGACACTGGAAGATGGAAGAGGTTTAAAAAATGAAGGCTTGCTAGTTACAGAATATGAAAAATAAAGTGAACTAAAAGGAGGGGGAAAAGAAATGGGCTCAAACAAATGAAAAAAGAAACCTTTAAATCAAAAGCAACCAACACAGACATTTATGCTGTTACCAGAGAGTTCTCGCCGAGGCTGGCAAATTTGTTTCTTAAATCTTTGATAATATCGTGCTGCGAAAACAAAATTGATCAGGGTTTTTTTGTCACACTATAGTTAGCGCTCCTGTGGTTAAATTTTTATGTTTTCTTAAATTATGTGATAGGCCTAAATGGAAGCAGAGAAAAGAAAAAAAAAAAAAAAAAGAGGCAGCTTTGCTTTATATGTAGCCATGCTAACATCTATAAGGTTTGCCTTCATGTTTAAACCTCTTCCTGTGAAGTCAAAAACAAAACAGAAACAGAACCACACAGACACACAAAACCATTTTGTCATTACAACACGGTTTCAGGAAAACTGAAAGAGGACCCTTTCGTCTGCTCTTTAGGTGTTGTTTAAAACTGATGAGCAACATTTGATTCTTCCTTTTAGACCCAACAATCTTTTATGTTCCTCCCATTGCCAGAGCTCTATGTGGAACATTCGTTTAATGCTTAACCAACTCCTTTTGTGGGAGAGTTTTTCAGTAAGAAAATGATAAGAAATTATTCGCTCACGAAACTGTCCTATCATTTTCATCAACTAAAGAGGCAAGGGAGTCAGGAAGAAGTTCTTCTATTGACCTAATAGAACACATAAAGACAGTCATCAGGAAACTCACAGAAGATGGAAGATGGCAACATGCCACACACTCTTGAGAGAAAACATAACAAAACAACAGTTTGCCATTTGTGCTCCCAAAGTGGGAAGATCAGTTAAAGACCTGCCAGAACAACTTGCACCGTAGCCTATAAGGTCCCAGTAACCTCCTCAGTAACTGAAATCAACACATGAGGTATGGACCTTACAAGGTCCAAGAAATAGACAGGATCTCAGACTACCTTGTATAAAAATAAACTCCCTGGACAGGTCACTCATTTTCTTATATCGCATCTAAATTTTAATAATCAATGTTTTCAGGAAGATGATGAAAGTCATTTGGAAAAAAAAAGCATTGAGCCAAAAAGATATACTGATCTAGACACAGAAAAATACTGTATTTCATAAACAGAGATCAAGTCAACCTATCTGTTGAATTTATTTTTTGTTGAACTGAAATTGGAAGCTCTACCTTCAGGATTCTTTAACATTATTTCTTTCTAGTACTTTGCCCTTTGAGAACAGCTTCTGGGCATGTAATTTAATCTGTCATTGGGAAAGTTTATTATAAATAAAAATAAAAATAAAACGCTGAAAGTTAAACCAGAAAATTTTCAGATACTAAGATGAATTATGTAAACAGATTTTTTTAAACTGCAGATTAGCTTTTCTAAACAAATTGTAGACAGATCTTTCATAAGCATCTTACTCAGGAAAATAACATCTTGAAAGCACCTTTTCAAAAATAGAGTTCTCCGACACACCAGATTTTGCTTAAACTGTGTAAGGCTCTTAAATAAACACCACCTGCAGTTTAGTCTTTGTGTTATTTCAAGGTTATTTCAAGGTTACACAGTAAGGTGAGGAAAAAAAGAGCAGCTCCAGAATTTAAATTTTCCCTTAGGCAAAACGTTCTGTTTGCCAAGAGCAACCAAGAATTATCAGTGCACATCCTAATAAGCTTGTTATGAGGTTTTTTCAAGGTCAAATATGGTCATGTATCAGACCCATGATCAAATCACTGGTAATGAACAGAAGTATTTTACATCATGATTTGCTTTTGGTTATAACTGAAGTTTGTAATAACATTGCTAATATTATTTCATTTTGTCTAAGAGTGTGTCAAGCTTTTAACACCAGGGGAAACAAGTAGAAAGTCTCGAAGAAAAACAACTGTATTTAGTTCTTCAACAACTTGTCTTAAGTGAGAAAAAATTATTGAAATAGGGAGAATTACAATTGTCCCTTGCTCCTCGATGCAGAAAATATCAGGTTGGTGCCAAGGTAACTGTAGTTTTTGCCACTGACCTAATCAGTTTATCCTCGTAATGGAGATGAAAAGATATTTTAAACCAGGGTAGCCTGGTTACAGGAAAGGAATTTACATTGTTTCTGAAGGACCTGCCTCAGCTCCATTGACCTCTGGGGCAGAACTTGAGCAGATCAGAGGCTGAGTCTACCAAATCTATCATCTGTTCGTCATACAAAATAAGCCCATCTACTTTGTGTGTGTTTGTTTGTATTTCCATGACTTCAACAACTGTAGAAAATGTTTTCATAATATTTTCATCAGAAACTGTAGGTGGTAGCAAGTTATAACAGAATAGAAATATCCAGGAACAAAACTCCTTAAATTTCCCATAATTTAGTAATGTCATAAGTCACCTTGAAATATTTTTAATTGGCATCTTATAGTTATGACCTACAAGGTGATGTTGAATATCAATATTATAAGAAATAAAAAGACTGAAAAATAGAAGATTTAATTGGATAACAATGGGGACAATGAAGAAAGGGAGTGAAATTGCACTAATAATTTGGTCTGCAGCACAAACAGGTCAACTCAGACTAAGGAAAGTCAAAAGCATGGATAAGAGACACCTTCTCCACTTCAATTACTTTTTTTCTGTTGTATTCCAGTTCCTGAAAAATGTAGATTAGCTACATTTCTGTAGCGTTGACTCACAGTGATGGGAAAATACCAAGATTATAATTTTGTTTAAAACGAGTGGTTCCTAACTTTTTTTTTTTTTTAATTAAATAAGTAAGCCAGGCACGGTGGCTCATGCCTGTAACCCCAGCACTTTGGGAGGCTGAAGTAGGAGGATTGCTTGAGCCCAGGAGCTCTAGACCAGCCTGGGCAAATAGCAAGACCCTGTCTCTGCAAAAAACTAAAAATAGCCAGGCTTCGTGGTGTGCACCTGTAGGCCCAGGTGGGAGAATCACTGGAGGCCAGGATTGCGCCAATGCACTCCAGCCTGAGCAACAGAGCAAGACCTTGCCAATAAATAAATAAATAAATAAATGTACATGAAATTTCCTAGAAGATCCATGAAGGCAGGAGGCTTTCTTTGTTTTAACCACACCAGTACACACATACTATACATCCAGTACAGTTCTCTGAAAATAAAAGGTGTTCAAGAAAATTTGCATGAATAAATGACAGAACTAAATGATGTGATATCCTATAGTCTGTGATCACAATTAATCTAAAATATTACAAATGTTATCTTTTTTGTTTGAAGTGCTGCAAAATTAGTAGCTCTAGAAGTTTGTTTTTCAGTTCATGCTTAAAGAGGTCTTCAGAATTATACACATACAAATAATAATCAAATTGTGGGCTTTAGCTCATTTAATTTTTTGTTCAGATCTTTCATCATTATCCACTCTTTATTACTGATCTTTCAAACAGTATGATAATCTTCCAGAATTCTACTTCTTGAGAGGATAAGCAAAGTTTCTAATGCTGTCTCTTTAACACTCTGTAAAAATGGTATCAAAGTTTGACTAATCTACAGAGACAAAAGAAACACTAAACCAGGGTCAAGTAAGTCAGTTAATGCACTAGAGGCTTTGACGTTAGATATCCTGTGTAATATGACTTTACAGTTTAATTCTTCCAATATTATATACACTTGCATTTTGGGTGGAATATTGTTTCTCAGGGATTCAGCATATTTAGAAGTAATTTAAAACGATGCAAAAGCAATAAAACTCAACTAGGTTGAAATAATTTTCTATTTTAGGGCCCAGTTGTCACAATTTGCACTTTACCACCGAAAGCTTAATTAACAAGGTATAAAAAGGAAAGAAAAGATGAGTAACTCTAAAATCAGAAGTTATCAAATTAGGAAAGTTAAGCTGACTTATCATTAGAGGGAATGTAGTTTATTCCTAAATGCAATATTGATTTAAAACAGTGGTC